ATGTATAAATATTTCATGCTAAGATTGAGCATTTTCCATTAATAATATACTTTTATAAATAAAATTGCAATAAGCTTTTTAGAAATGTATGAATTTTCAATTATGGACTTACAATAAAAGTTTTCATTTTAAAAGGTAAGTTGAACATGTTTTTTGTTTTTTAATTGATTTTATTTTAATCGGGCGTTATGGAAACTGATATTTTTATTTTGGATACTAAAAGTATTCTATGTGTTTTTTCCTTTTTTAAGTAAATTATTTGGTCTTTATTCTTAATAAATAGTTTGATATAAAGTTTAGTACAAAATGAACTTTAGTTTAAAATGTAAAGTAGCAATAATTTATTGTCAATTCTGAATGGTTTCTGAAAATTTTCATTTGATTTTCTTTTGAAATTCAAAATAAAAAATTACGCAGATTAATTTATTTAAAAGACTATTAAAATTTTTAATAATCAACGTTTATGAGAGAATGTTTTTAAAGGTTAAAATTAAAAATTGCTGATGATATTGCCCCAATGTTTTCTACCAGATTTTTAACAGAATATATTTCTACTTATAAAATCTCTAACAAATAAGTTTATTTTAGAAAACCGAAAAGAAAACGAATTTATTTTTTGAAATCATTTGGTTTTGAGTTTGAATATTTTGAGTTATATTACATGTATCCTTATCTATATATAGCTAGTTTGGTTTTTTTTTTTGTTAGAAGTTGTACGAGTAGTTAGTAAAATATATTTGAATTTCTATGGGTTCTATTTCTATATTGTGTTTGTATTTATTTCAAATTTCATCTATTAATTTAAATTTTTTGAGGAGTTCAATATTATTGAATACCTCGTTACTTTAATACTCGTATTACTTCATTTAAAATCAAATTGGGGAATTAATTTGCTATCATTTCCTTTTTAATATTTTCTTTTAAAAAAAAATGCTTGAATATTATAAATATTTAAAAATATTTTAAAGATAATACAAATTTTTTGTTTTTGTAATTCTAATAAACCGTAAAACAGTAACGTATATTTGCTTTCATTATATTTTATATACGTATATATGTAATATACGTAATATATTAACTAAGTTAAATATATGTACAGGCATGTACATTAGTTTACATTTGTATATTATTAATTATTATACATATGTATATATATTAGCTAAATTTTTTAATTCTACTGGTTTTACTTTCATTATAATATAAAAATTATTTTATTTTAAATAAAAAGTGATTTAAACAAACAAGGATAAATTTTTATTGTTTATTTTATACAACACGTTTTAATTATATTAAGAGTTTTTTATTTTCCAATTCATTTCAGTTTTCGAGTTTACATCCTTTTGCTTTAGTTTATAAATTTTTAATATTTTTTTTTATTTATTATTTAATAATAATAATTTTAATTTAAAAATAAATTAATAATAAATATTTTCTTGTTTTTTCCCTATTTTGACATAATAAGTTTAAAAATTTAAAATGTTCGGTAGTTATTGCCACTAATTGATTGCTATTTAAATTTCTGTTTTGTTATTTTATGTACAAAGAACTGAATTGAATTTTGTAAATTTTGCTTTAATTATTTTTTATTGATATTTAATTTGCTATTTCAAATACTAAAATTATTATTTAAATTTTATCAGATTTTTGTTTTTATTTGGAATTTCTTTTAAAATTGTTAAAAAATAATTTGAATTTACTTTTTAAAATATTTCTAATATTCAATTTATAATTTACATACATTTTTTTCAATAATTTTTTTCATTATTCTTATGTATATTACATGAAACATTTATATTATTATGTCATAATATAAAATAATATTATACGTAATAATTTGTATGAATGTACAAATAAACATAAAAAAATATTTTAATACACGATGAATCAAAATTCCTTTTTAGTACGTTTTCTTCAGTTTAATAAAAAGAAGGATGTTTAACAATAAAAAGTTGTTGCAGTTTCCTTTATGTAGTAAATGAATTTAATAATTTAAACAACGAGTTTTAAAGAAAACAAAGAAAACAATTCATATTAAGAACAAAAGAAGATTAAACCTTAAAAAATCAGTCTGACTAAGTTGATAAGTTAGAAAAGGTCAAATAAAGAATTGTTTTTGAATTTGGTTACAATTTACATTTATGTGTAATATGGAAATCTTGAAACAATTTAATTAAATTTATGAAATATGTAAATGTTTGATATTTTTACTGTTTATTTAGAGCAAACAGACGATTAAAGCATATGCATTCATCCAATAAAATAAATGCATTCATCCAATAAATAAATGAATCAATCTAAGTAAAATTATGAACTTTTGTTTTAAGAGTAACAAAAAAATTATTTGCTATAATTATTGTGCAAATTTAATTATTTGATTTAATTCATTAAAAGTTTTAAAATATACATATATATACATATGCATATATTTGACTTAATAATGTTATAATGTATAAGTATATTTTTTTAAATCTATTCAAGGATTAGCTATAAAATGCAATTTCTAAAACTAGAAAGAAGCAAGATATATTATAATAAATAATCATTATTATTTATTGATTCAAGTAAAAAAAATTTAGCGTTTAATTATATATTGTCGGTCTAACACAGTTGATTTAACGTATCTTAAACTACTGCATTTAAGGCATAGAAAAAAAAGTTTTAAAAACCTATTATTTTTTCTTGAAACATTTTACATACGGGCTGCTATATGGGCGTTAATATAATTAATTAAAAATAAAGATACGCCTTAATTTCGTTAAATCATTGTTAGGCCGATATATACATATTTGGAAATATGTGTGTTTGCGTTTTCTAGTTTTTATGTAGAAACCGTACGATTCATCCCGTATACAAATTATATTTTATGAATATACTATGTATTATGACATGAATACATGTTTTTGGTATTTAATAAACTTTTAATTATAATTCAATATTCATCAATTTTTGAAACGATAGACAAAATATGTACATAATATATTTACAATTTTTTATTTTTGTTGTCAACGATCCCTAATTGATTATTAATTTTTTATTATAAATAATTTTGTTATTTATATAATTATAATCATTAAGAAATATACAATATATTCATATTATTTTTATTATGTTACAGTAACGGTAATATTTAACGGTATTTAATTTAATATTCTAAACAAATGTTTTTTGTTTTATTTTTTTACCAACAGAGAGAAATTGAGAATGTGCCATAATGTTCTGATTTTAATTTTGCTTATATAAACATACCAAGATAAACTATGGGTTCAAAATAGTAAAAATAATATAGGTATGTTGCTGGACAATTCCGAAAATTAAAATTTGAGAACTGAACATGTATTTACATTAACAAAATATCCGCTAAAAATATAAGGGGACGGTGCATTTTTACCTCATACCATGTATAAGAATTTCTTAATTAGAAATTTGCAAATGTATTTTAAGGATACAAGTACTTTTACCAATACTAATTGGATTTGTTTTTTAAAGTCGTCATTACAAATATTAACTTCTTAGGCTAAATGTCTTCAATTGAAATTCTAACTGAATTTTAAATAAACAAAATAAGGTATATGTAAGCCTTTTATAAGGGATTTTATAATCACATGTTTAATATTGTATTTAGGATATAAAATGTACGGTATAAAAATATATAAGAATTGCTGTTGAAAGTGACGACTTTGAATATATTTTCAACATTACTTTAACCAGTAAAACATAATCTATTTTTAGGTATTTAATTAGTAATAATTAATAATAATAATAAAACAGAATTTTATTTTTTAATTAATATGTAATTCGGCAAAATACAGAAAGCAGTGCGAATAAAACACACTTGATGTTTATTATTTAAAAATTTAAAATTTCATACATGAAAATTGTTAATTAAGAAAATTATCGATCAATTTAAGTTTAAAATGGCGAAAACTATATATTTTTTGGTATGTCGGGTTTTTATCTTGAAAATTTTACAATATTTATAAGTGTACTATTAGGATTTATTTTGTGATATGGTTCTTGAAATATATGTATATATATATATAATTATTAAATACCAAGTCCTGTCTTTATAATTTTAAAAAAGCCTAATATTTATTACTGCTTTTTACAATTAAAGATTTTTAATTTTATTACAAATAAATCGATCAAAAATCATATAATATAGATAAGAATTATATCAAAAAATTTTTAGGTAAATTTTTTTTTCTTTTTCTTAAATTTATATAATATATACATACATATATATATATATATGTGTAAAGTGTTTGATTTTATATAAAATAATTATTTTTAAGAATTCGCTAGCTAAGAATTTTTTTATTAATTTATACTTATATTTCAATCTTTCGTTTTATTAATTTTTCATTATTTTACATAATTATGTAAATAATAATATGAATAAAGTAAATTTAGTTATTTAATATAAAGGTTATAGTTTTCATATTTTTAAGAGTAATTTTAAAATAACATTAAATTTAAATAATAAAATTTAATTTTTAGTATTTCTTGCAACGAAATTTTTAAGTTTTCTTATTTCTTAACAATTTTTCTCTACATACTATGTATTTTGTAAATTATTGTTAAATGCTTATCTAAACTTAAAATTTTCTTTTTTTTGTACAAACTATTTGTAGTAAATTTATTTTTTATATTAATAACTATGTTTAAGCCATTATATTTATATTTTAGAAATATTCGTTAACAATCCCTAATCTTAAAACATGTTAATTTCTTTTTATGTTAGCATTTAAATAATAAAATTTAATTTTTAGTATTTCTTGCAACGAAATTTTTTATGTTATTCTAACATTTTACAATATTTTTAAAAATACTTTTATTTGTTTTATGATTTTGATTTACAAGTAGAAATTTAAAACAAAAATTTTATTTTTTTCTTGTTTTTAAACTCTTTTATTTTATTCATTTTATAAATTTTCAATCAATAGTTTAAGTAAATAAAACATTCAATTTAGATTTTTATTTCTTGCAACTATTTTGTAAAATCTTAAAATGTTTAACAATGTTTCAAGTTTTCAGAATATAAAAAAAGTATTTAATGACTTTATTTTATATCAAATTTAATTAATAATATATCATATTTAATTATAACACAATTATAAAATGTTAAAATATTCGAAAAATTTTGATGAATTTTAAAATTATAATACTAGTTTTATTTATTGATCAACTAATGAACAACTATTTGACTGAATGAAAAAAAAAATATTTATTTTATGTTCAATGTCGGAAGCCATTTTTTCTCAAATTAAATATGTATGTATCATTTTTCCTCATCAGACACAGCTTGCTATTTTAACATTGTTAAAAAAATTAGGATTTTTTATGATATTCTATATTTTATTACTTAAATAATTTTCATAATATTTTATTTAAATTATTTATTTGATAGTTTTATTCTCTAATTATTCGTTTTTTTTTTCATTTTTTTCTTTCATTTAAAATAAGAAAATTTATTAAAAAAGATCTAAATTATTTACTTAAACCATAATATGTATGTATTTATACAGATTGTCGAAGTGTAGTTTTTATAATATGAGAAATGGTTTATTTTTTTTAAATTAAAATTTAAATTAATCAAATAAGCAGCAAATGGTTGAAATGTATAAACAATGCAGTTAATAATGTAGCTTTTTTCAAAACATACACTTAAAAATATGTTTGAGATATTCAGAAATTTTGTTTAATTTCATCTCGAATATGTTGCAAACATAAAAATATAAAATTTATTAAACAAAATCTTTGGCTGCTTAAACTGCAATAATTGATTATAAATAAATTAAATTTTTGCAAAGGTTGTACGTTTTCCACAAAAGAGTGTTTGGAAAGCCTAATTGTAATATAGTTTGTGATCATGGAATTCAAATTTGTATAGCTTGGATTGATAAAAAAAATTGTTAGAAAACAATTTTGATTACTAACTTGAAAAGCCATGTTTAAATTGTTTTTTATATTAATATTATTTTATATTTTCAATAAAGAACAAATTCCAATCAAATATGCATTATATTTTGCAAAAACTTTAAATAATATGCAAGCTTGGCTTTAAATGAGAAATTTTCTTGTTAAAAACTGATCTAGCTAGAGTCGAATTTTAATACATTTTCATTTTTTAATTATTAATATTATATTTTTTAATTGATTTCTTTTTTCTTTTTTATTTTTGTTCAAGTTTTCTATAATTGAGGTAATAAAAATTCAGGGGTTTTATTGCTATAAAATTTTTTAATTTAATTTTTATATTTTGTTTTTTGATTTCGAACAATGCGAGAAGAAATTTTTAAAATTTAATTTTAATTATACTGATAATACATATACATATTTATGTACATACTATATATAAATTTATATTATAATTCATAATATCTGTAATAATTTGTGTTAATAATAATTATTGTTAATTTTATTATAACTGATGAATCCATTTTATAATAAATAACGAGTTAACATTATGTTATTATAATTAATTTTTGTAATAATAGTTATTACTCACGTAGAAGATTGTCAACTACATTCTTTACCATTATTTTCATTATTAATATTTTGATTGCTATTATTGTTATTATTATTACTACCATTGTTGCTATTACTACTACTGTAACTGATATTGTTAGTAGTACCACTATTCGTATTATTAGTAGTAGTTTGTTCTAATAGTCACCTTTCTGTTTCGTTTCTCTGGGGTTGTTTATTATTTAGGCCGTTACCACCATCAGATTTTGAAGAGTCCGATGATGTACTATGATCTGTTGTAATTTCACAAATATCTGATGATTGTATTTGTTGTTGTAAAGATTGTTTTTCATAATCATTTAAAACTTTTGATCTTTCACCTCGTAAATTTTTATCAATTTGATGTTGTCGTTGTTGTGCTATAGCAGTGGTTGTTGAATGCGGTGCAGATGACGACATTGACCTTTTTGGTAATGGTGACGGTGCCATTTGAATTGGTAATGATGATGTTTGTGTTACAGGTGTTTTTATTATTTGGTGTTCTGATTGCAAATTCGACATTGTTGTACAGGATGACGTTGCTGCTGGTGAAAGTGATCGTTGTGTTACTATCGGTCTAGGCATTATTGGTGGTGATTTTGATTGTTCCCTTTTTTGTATATGCGTTTTACGTTGCAGTTGTGGTGGTGATAATATTGCGGAATGTATAGATCTAGGTTGAGTGGTTGGTGTTCTGGGCTTAATCATTGGTAATGAATCTGTAAGTGATTTTTGTTTTTGAGGTTGAGTACGGGTTTGTGGTGGTAGTGGTGGCGGTTGAGGTTTTATTGACTTAGGAGGTACAGGTGGGGATTTGATATTTTTGGTTGGTACTGGCGATCTTGGTGGAACTGGTGGAGGTGATGGAGATGGTGTAGGTGTTGTAGGAGGAGAATGTCTTTTTATGGATGCAATCGGTGTTTGTGGCATCATATCTGTTGTCCCAGATTTCACGCTTGCTGCTGCAGTTACAGTGGAAGTATTTGATGTTTCAGTTGATTGTGTTGTCGCTTCGGTTACTTTTGATATTGTGGAAAAATCTCCACTTGGTGGTTCTTTTGGACTTTCAACCATTATTTGAACAATCGGGTGACCTGGTTGTAATTCATGAAGTGACGGTAAATCATCTGAACCAGGAGTTATTTTAATTTCCGGTGGTTTTTTTGGTTTTTCAACAATTTTTTCTAAAAAAAAATAAAAATTGGAGAATGCATATTTTTCAAAAGGGCTTAACAAAAATAATTACCTTGATTTTCTGTCGTTTCCTCTTCATCTTCATTTTTATATTCTTCACTCTCTCGATGAACAAGCACATGAACTAAGGTCGAATTGTCGGGTCTTAAACCCGGCCCAGATGGTGCTTCTGGAGAAGGTTTTGTGACTAATATACTAACTTCCGGTCCATCAGCTTGATTTTAGTAAGCCATATCAAATTCATAGTTTTTTTTAATGACAAAATATGAAATATTTTTGTAATATGGTTGTTTTATTGAGTAACATAAAAGTGCAACAGATTATGTAGGTATCGATGACGAACGTTATAGATAAATACACATACGATGTATACACATTGAAGGATTAGTATGAAAAAGGGGAAATTTGAAAAAAGCAAAAAAAAAGACAAATATTTAATTAAATTTAAATGGTTGTTCGGACACTTATAAATGAATACACATACAGACAAAAGCATTTTTGTTAACTCTTAAAGCGCTTTGTGCTGACAAACCTCTTTCTAGTGGTGGCTTTTTACGTATAAAACTTGTTGCACGCTTTCGTACAGGTGTTGGTGCACTTGTTGCTACTGTGGCAGCTTTATCTTCACTTGAGGATGGTGTAAGGCCTTCAAATTTGTTTTGTTTATTTTTTATGTTAGTTTTTACGTGTTTAAAAAAAATTAATGTCATAATATAAGGAATATTGTGTTCTAAATTCTAAAATTACTTGATTACGTTAAACAATGTTTAATTTGACAATATATTGTAGGTTAGTTATGTATTTTTCAATTTCTTTGTACAAAAAATAAAGACTATTTACAAAATAAATACTATCTTTTTAGATAAATATATAAATTTTCTTTGATAAAATTATCAAAACAGGCAAATTTTCCAGATTTAAGAACACAAAATATTAATTTTTAATTTAAAAAATACATTCAAGACAACTCGGGAATTTTTATTTTTAGTAATTACGTATAATAAGATATTTTTAAATTTAAACTTAAATCATTAATTAATACATTAATTAAATTATAAATAAGGGACATACTTTTCCTTTGCACTGATGGCGAAGTTAAACTATCATCAACTGCATCTTGATGACGTAAAAAGAAATTATAAAAGCTTCTTCTTCTGCCAGATTTGGCTTGTTGTTCAGCTATGATACTATTGCTACAATTTCAATTTTTTGGAATGAAGTTCAATATTTAAATGTTGAACAAAATTAAAAACAAAAAAAAATTTAAATTACACATATATGTATGTATGTAACTTCATATTTGAATAACATTGATTCTTTGAAATCTTGTATAAATTAAATAAGAGAAATATTTTATTGAAAAAATATGTAATTCTCAAAGTTAGAACATGGTTAAAATTTGGAAAATTTATTTTTCCACATTATTATGTCAAATATTATATTGTGAAGTATTTTTATTGTTATATAGACTAGAACTTTTTACACTGCAATTATTTCTGTAAATAAATTGTCTTATGTAAAAAAAAGTATTTCTATTTTTATAGAAGAAAATATAAATATAGACAATAATATATAATTTACAACTTAATTACTAAACATTTTATATAAAGTTTACGACATTTAACACTAAAAGAATTTATTATATACAAATACATATAAATTCGTACATTAAACAAAAATGTTACCGAATGCTCGATAAATCATTTAGGAATTTTATCTTAATTATTTAATTTTATAATGGATATATTACAAGATTTAATTAAAATTAATTACAAATGTAAATTTTTACAAAAATTATTGAAACGAAAAAAAAACATAAATTTGTTATGTTGTTTTTTACAATGTTGAAAAAATAAAAAAAAGTTATAAATTATTATTCTTTTTATAAAATGTAAATACTTTTTCATTTACATTTTCATAACAAAATTTTAAAATTCTTAATGATTAATGAACATTCTTTTAACATTTGTTTCATGATTGCATCAATATATTAAAAATTTTAAAACAATTACAGTTTTTATCAATACAATCAACTTAATTATTCTAAAAGGTTAACATACACTTAAACAATAAACTTAAAATATAAATTAAAAATTACGTTTTAACATCGATACAATTCATATTTTACAACACAAATACAATTTATAAATGTACAACATTCAAATTTATATGATAAATAATTAAAAAATTTTTTTTTTTTTGGATTTAAAATTGATTGTGGGTTTGATATAAAAATAAAATACTAAATAATGTGATTAAAATTTAAAATTATGCAAAGATTTTTTGATACTTACTATAATAGATATATTTTAATAAAAAAAGTTTATGTACATACTAGTAAAAGAATGTATATATATGTAGTACTTTTCAGATGAAAGTCGCAGAATTATAAAATGAAGAAAAGTAAAGATTTCAAAAGAAAATTATTTGTTTAATTTGATGATGAAAGCGAGGAATCCCATAGATTTAGAGTATAATCGAATTATTTTCTTAAAAGGATTTTTTAAGAGTGAAAATTTTGAAGTGTATTTTTATAAATTTTGTGATTGTTTCACATTGCCTTACACTTTAATTACTTTTTGTTTTCCGTTATATTTGCAGAATATTATTAATTTTTCCGTTGATGGGTGCATATGAATTTATTTTTTAGTGATAATATTTTGTATTTACATATTTGTATCCCAGTTTTGTATTTAATTCAATAGTGATATTTGAATTCGATAAATTTTTTTTCAATATTTCAATCTTGATTTGCACCAGGCATGTGTTACATATATGTTTAATAATTTTCTTTCAAAAAAAAAGTTTATATTAGCTTTTTTAGAAAGAAGAGTTCTTTCTACAATGCTAATACAATAATTTTATTATTATTATTTTTAAGGGTGTTATTGAAAATAGTTTAAATATTACGGAATTTAGAGTTTGAAAATTTATTTTTCCATCAACTCACGTCTCTAAGAAATTCTCACATTTCTCTCCAAAAGAAGTGTGATTCGATTGGGAATATATGGTTTTGGTTAATTTTCAGAATTCATTGTTAAGTTTTAAGTAAGTGATCAAAATTAGGAAACTTGGAATTATTGGTAGTGATAGTGATCATTTTATTATACATTCTAATAATTTGTTTTCTAAAACAACTGCTGTATATTTTATACATAATGTATATTAAAACAATTTTTCTAAACTTGCACATAGGTTGCTGTAATTTTTTTGAAATTTATTGAAAGTTTCCTAAAACAAAATTTTTATAGATGATTAGTTTTTGATGGCGATTACCTGAAGCTAAACGATGAAATTTTGAAGGTTGCGAAGGACTTTCTTTAATTGCAGAGTTAACAACTTCTTCTAATAACATTTCATATGAACTTATAGATGTCGCTAAATTTTTCATAAAAAATGATGGCCAGAAATTAAAGTTTTCTCTGCATTGAATCGAAGATTTTTGATTGGATTTTGTTATAATTTATAGAAAGAAAGTATTTAAAAAAAGTATTTAGCTTAAAGAAACAAAAAAAAATTAAAAACGCATAAAAAACAAAAAAAAAAATGTTTATGTAGGAGTATGTATATCAAGATTTCAAAGAAGTCTGTAAAACTTTTTGATTTTTTTTCAACTTTGTTTATTTATAAATGTAAAAAATTAATAATTTATTTAGTTTTTTTTTTATCAAATGTATGTAAAATGAATTATAATTATTTGTAAAATGAAAGAATAATATTTGTTTTTATGTTTTAATTTGCAGTTAATAAATGTTACCGTTTTTCTTCAGTCTGTTGCTTAATGTCTTTGACTAATTCATCAGCCCCAGAAACTAACATTAACGGTAAATTAAGCCAAGGTCCAGCTAATTCACTTAAATCAGATGCATCAGATGCTCGAGATGATTTACGTGATGATGCACGACTTGAGCATGCTGTTCCACGACGTCCAACCTACAATTATATTAAATTATTAAAATTTCTTTTAAGATCATTAAAAAAATATTAAAATGTATAATCTTTGTAGTTGCTTTCGAAATTTACTTGCTTTTATTTGCATTCTTTCGATATATATACATAGTATAAATGCATTTACCTGTAGATGTAAAAAATTGAAAGCTGATAATTTGGCATGCCAGCCTCCTGGACTTGAATTTTTTGAATTGTCTTCATCCATTGAATTTGATAGCCTTTCTCGTTCTTTTTTCATTCTATTATTCATATTTTGTAGTTAAGTAGGATTTTGCGTAGATATTTATACCAAGTTAACATTTTTAATTTTTTTGGGCATACACATACATATATAAAAATTTAATAATGTATAAATTTGTGAAAATCATTTTTTGTTTATTATAATTTTGTTTTTATTTTAAATTTAGTCCATATACGTGTTTTTTATATAAGAATTTTGAAATAATTTTTCTAATGTTTTATCAGAAGAAGACGATATAATTGAATTTATGAATGAAATTTTATGTTAAAAATCATTATTACATTTAAACAATTTTGGCTTTTTGCTTTCAAAATGAAAGTTGTAATATAATTTTTAACATTTTGTTTAAACGTAGTTAAATTTTTGTTCGAATAGTGTAGTATAGTAGAATTTTGGGTCCGATTGACTGATTTTTAAATTATATATATATATATATATATATATACATAAATGTAAGATTTCAACATAAGTATGATAGAAATTTTAAAAAAGTAATAAAAAGTTTATATTTTACAAAATTTATTTAATTTTTTTTTAAAGCAAATAAGAAGGAGATGAACAAGTAAGTAGAAGTAAAGTTAAAAATTTAAATGTTATATTTTATAAATAAAAATATCAAAGTAAATAATTTAATAAAAGAAAATATTAAAAAATGTATATAAATGTATACTTTTTTTTAATATTATTTTTATATTTTTTATTACCAAACCTACCTTACATATTCTCTCCATGTATTTTGTATTAATCTAGCAGCCTTGTCTTGGCGTTTCCAAATTCTTGTCGAAGAAATAATTTCCAATTCTTTGCGAGTTGGAAATTGCTTCTTAAATTTACCATCCATTTGCTCTTGTAATTGTTTGAAAGTATCTGTTTCTTCGACATGCCCTAGAACATGTTTAACCAAAGCATGTAAGATGTCCAAACAATGAATTTTATTTCCTTTGGATATTGGTAAATTGAATGAGACCAAGGCTACTGTATTTGGTTTTGGTATACCCAATGGTGGGTCTAAAGATGCTATAAAATCAGCTAATTGACTAAATGCTATAAATTGTGTTGCATGGGGATCATATCTGTTTGTTAAATTATAAATATATGAGGGGTAAAAATTGGAGTTTCTGTTGTTTCTGTTACAAGAATTTTGAGAGTTTTACTATACATAATATATATATATATATGAACTATTATAATACTTATAACAAAACAAATATTACTTAATTATTAAATTTTTGTTTTAAATTATTAAAAATCTATTTGCTTTGTGTACAATGTTTTTAGGTGTATTTTAATGCTTTATAATGTTAAATAACATACTCATACTTCATTATTTAATAAGTACAGAACTATTACGAAAAAGATTAAGTATACTTCTTATAAATTTAATCCCTTTCTAAACGCCAATTGGAAATTTCATTACCGCGTTACTAATGTTGAGATTCTCATAGGATTTAATAAATTTTTTAATTATCAAATTTTGTAATACATATTCATTGGGATTTAATTAACACTACTTTTATTTTTAAATCAATAATTGCAGAAGTCGAATTTTTTGTCTGCAACATAATTGTGTTTTAATATTATTCCGTAGTGTCATGTTCAAAAATACATACTTGTTGTATTACATTTAATTACAATTGAATTTTTTTCCCGATAAATGATAGGAAAAAAATTAATTTTTCAAAATTTCTAAATGTTTTCAATGTACATATGTATGTTTTTTGTATTTGTAAATTTGTAATGTGTGTATATAAAAGAAATTTTTTTATTAATAATTAAATATCACATTTAAGTAGAACAATGTAATTATACTACCATATATATTATAATATTATTTAAAATAAAAATTGAAAACTAAAACTAAAAACTACACTTACTTTGACCACCTAATATAAAACATTTCCAAATCATCTTCAACTATACCAATTTCTTCTTCTTGATGTGCTTGATTAAAATTTTCCAATATAATAGCTATATACATATTAATTACAATCATGTAACTGATTATAATAAAACTAGTAAAATATGTAATAGCCAATAAAGGATGTCCACAATCGCTTAAATCAAATTCACAATCCGGTGGTTGTATCATTAATGATTCTAATACATCATTCCAACCCGCTGATGTCATTAAACGAAATAACAATTGCATACTACGACCAAATGTTTGAAAATTAACCATATCATCTAAGGCACCCTGTAATTTAACATGTCCGAATAGAGACATTCCTAATATTGCATAAATAAATGTTATTAATGCCAATAGAGCTCCAATATTAAATAATGCTGGTAATGAAACGACCAACGCAAATAATAATTTGCGAATTCCTTTGGCCGCTTTAATTAATCGTAATATTCTTCCTATGCGAAACACTCGTACAACTCGTAAAAGTGTCGGCGATATTGGTAAATCAATCATAATATCTTCCATTAGAATACCAAAAATTGATGCTAATACTAATAGGAAATCAAATACATTCCACGGTACTGTGAAATAATGGTAGCGAAGACCTACGATTTTTACTATTGCTTCTGTATTTGTTTTGCGATTATATGCGTATTTTGTTATTTTTATATTAATTTTTTTTGAGGATTTATTAGGGATATTTATTTGTTTGTGTTTGAAATGGGAGAGGTTCATGTAAAAAAAAAATTACAAAGAGACAAATAGTGAACATAAATTTATAGTAAAATTTTTATACTGAATTTTATTAAAAAAGAGATAGAAGACAAATTTAAGTTAAAAACTGATTTTTAATTTTTGCATACGTTTTCTTAGTTTTCTCTTTAAAACAATTCATTTTATAAAATGTTATGCGATGCTTTACAGTTTTATGAAAGCTTTATTGTGAATTAGGAATCTAAGTTGAAGATGATTGTTAAATATTTACCAATTTTTTAGTTCAATTAATTATCAATATTTTAAGTATAAATGTATATAAAATTTTGATTATTAAGTTCTAAAGGGAATAAATTTTTGTAAAATGAAACATAAGATTCTGATAGCCCAATAGAATCACAAGCATTTGATGAAATATTTGAAACATTTTGGCAGGAAGCATCAATTTAAAAGTCTTAGCATAGCTACTTTTCAAGAAATTTATGAACTTTCGAATGTAAAAAAACTAGCATTTTTGATTTGTTTAAAATCATATACAGTGTTCGGTTTTGATTAGGAGGTGCAAATTCAATTCATGTGATGCCGTTTGACATAGGTTTGAAAACAAAAATCAAGTATAGAAATAGCGAAGCTAACTAAAATTAAAAATTTCAGATAATCAAGTCATTTTTAAAGAAATCGAAAGCATTTATTAAATATGTTTATTCTTTTTATTTTTTTTTTAATTCAATTGAAATTTAATAGCGCTAGAGCAATTTTTTTTAAGCGCAGCACATTAATTATTTTTGCAATATAAATTTTTTTATAACAGAAACTAAAATAGCATTATTTTCATGTTTTTTATGCAGTAGCTTTAATACTATTTATTAGCTCCAAAAATGCGTAGGTACTTATGATCATTTAAAATTTAAATAAAGCGCATTTATTTTTAAAAAATTTTATTTATATTGAGGCTATTTTAATCTTAAATAATGCATGTAGAAACAATCAATTATAGTTTCTTATTAAATATTTGCGCATGCAAATAGGTTTAAATTTTTTTTTATTTATTCGCTAATTCGAAAGCTGTTCATTTTTTTAGAATATTTTTCAATTAAAAATCAGTTTTTTGTTAGCATATTGTTATATAATATATGAAAAAGTTAAATTTAAAGCTACAATATTATAAAAAAAATTCCATCTAAGCAAAAAGAAGTCCACAAATTTCATAACATATTTTTCTAAAAAAATGTTATAAAAAATTTTTCAAAATTTTATTTTTTTTTCATTTAATTTTATTCTTTTAAATTAAATTTCATAACTTTGAATTTTTAACATTGTTTATAATTATTTTTGCTTACCTAAACTGAAAACTGTTGTAAAAAACGCGTTACTAACTTCTAAAATAAAAAACACTGCGTGTGGCTGATTGTAATGTTCGATGCCCATTGTGAGCATATTTAAAAATATTAAAACAAAAATGGCAATCTCAAATCTGAATGTTTTGTATTAAATTGTGAATGTTTTTTTTGTTTTTTTTTTTGAAAAAGAACATTTTTGAATGTTTTTAAAGTTTTGAAATGGTTTTATTTATTTTTTTTTTTTTTTTTGGAAAAAAAAGTATAAATTAATTTTAGTTAGTGATTCGAGTATAATAGTAGGTAGAGTAGGTTTTTGTGGTGGCATGGAAATGAAAAAGAAAAATAATATAAAATATTTAATGTTAGTATAATAATTAAGTATCATTTTCTTAATTCACTGGAAATGAAATTATTCATTGTTAAAAATATTTGGTTATTTAAAAAAAAAAATAAACATTTTAAAATTAAATTATTAAAAATTAATTAAAACAGGGTAAATAGCATTTAAAAGATTATATATATCTTGTTTTTGTACAGAGTGACTCACAAAATTCAATGTGTAGTGTTTTAAAAAATTTATTTAAATATCCACTTTTCGTAATATTTATGTTAAATACTTTCTCCAACATAATCTAAATATTAGTCCTTTCGCAAATGTAGTTTTTTGGGTTTTTTACAATAATTTTAATAAAAATCATATCAACTCTTATGTAAAGTTCCATTTTAATAAATATTTCAAAAATTTAAAAAAATTTTTAAACCAGAAAATCAGATCTACATTTTTGGAGCTTTACTGAAGGTAAACATGGCAACTCATGTAAATTTATCCATTTTGTAACTATAAATTTGAAAAGTTATATTTTAAAATAAAAAATTAATTGTATTTTTCAATTAAAATTTAAATTTAAAGCTCTTAATCAATGCTCAAAAATACGTCAATATCTTGTTAATGCTTCTTTTGTAAATTATAATTAATTATTGATGATGAATAAGCTTATATCTAGATACGAGTAGTGAAATTTATATGAAAGCCATAAAAGTTCTCGCAGCAAAAGGACTAAACATTAACTATTTAATATGAAATTATTCGGCAAACAATAGAAAACAATAATGATTTAATAATAAATTTAGAATTATAAAAAAATACTAATCCCATTTATATTATAGTTTTAGATTATTTAATTTCTAGTCCAGTTGTTTTTAATTGTAGTTCGATTGGGTGGTTGGCTATTTTATAAATTGTTTATGTAAAATAAGTTTTATTAATGATTGTATGAAATTTAACAAGTAAATGTTTTTAATTTTTTTCAATGTATCAAACCATATTAGAAATCAATTTTTGAAGTAAAAATAATCAGAAGATGTTATGAATTTGAAAAGAGATTAAAAGAAAAAAAAATAATTTATAAATTTAAATAAACAAAATCAAAAGAAAGGAAAATTAAATATTTTAAAATAAAATTTTAATAGTTTGTTTCTTTTTTTTAAATTGTGAGTTTTCATTAAAGTGAAATTTTTGCATATTTCTCATGTATGTAAATTTGTTCATTTTATTTCATTAAAAATTCAAATTTGATAATTGAATGTCTCATAATTCTATGAAAGTTTTTGTATACTTTCAATATACAAATACTGGAAATCGTGCTTTAAAATATAGATTTTTGAATGTTCAACTGATCCGGTTTCTTGTTTTATATTAGAAAATACACAGGTACATATTTAAAATTTTATAGACGCATAGTGTTTTTTAAAAAAATTTAATAAGTCATTAAACTAATTAAATTATTATATATACCTTTGCTGATTTCCAAAAAAAATGCATAATTCAAATTCAGTGAAAAGAAACGTCTTTTTAATACAATCTATTATTTCAAAAAATATTTAATTCAATTTTAACAAATATTTGTACTATTCCATTTGTATTCTGAAAAATTAAAAATTTTCAAAATCAAAATTAATTAAGACATACATGAGAAGGTTGTGCATTTAAAGTATCGTAAAAAATAAGTAAAAAACGTACTATGAATAAATCATAAAAATTAAATAAATTCAAAATTATAAAAAAAAGTGAATATGATTTAATATTATCCTTGAAATGATGATTAAATAAATGAAAGTGAAATAAATATTAATAACGTGTTTTATATATAAATTTTGAATAACATGGATCTACAATAATAATTGTTGCAATTAAACATTGCAAATGTACACTGCACACTATTTTCTGAATCATTCTGCACAATTAATTTGCAAGTTGCTATTAAATTATTATTTTTTTTTTTTGGTTCAAAATACTTTGAAAAAATAAAAAATTTTTAAAATTGAAAAATTTCAATAATAATAAGTATGTTTAAAAAATTAAAAAAAAAAAATTGGAAACACATTTTTGTTTTGTTGTAAAAGATTCGTACAAGAAATAATTTATAGCCCGGATCTCAAAAAGGCAAATAATGCAAATGCAAAATATAGTTATTTTATATCTATATAATAAAAATAATTTTCCTTATTAACAATAAAATTGTTTTTAAACACAGACAAATATATTATGTATATATATAAAATTGTAAATTTGTTTAATTTATTTTAATTTAGCTGACTTAGGCTCTCTATTTTACTAACACAAATTGCTTTATATATATATATATATAAGTATATATTCTAATAAGCAAGCATTCAAATAATTAAAAAAAAATCTGATATCAATATTTTTATTAAAATCTAATTTTACTATCAAATTCTATTTAATTCTATATATAAAAAATTATTTTAATTTAATATAATTATGATACATTTAAGATACCATAGGTCTCAATTCAATTTACGAACTCGTTAAAGTTGTTAAAGTTTACGAACTCGTTAAAGTTTATGTTTTATATTGAAAGTTATTATAAGTACATACATTTATAATTATTTGAATTTTTAATTGAAAGCTTACATTTATTTATAATTATAGACTAATTGCTTTGAATTGTGCATTCTAAAATTGGTGAAGATTGTTCTAAAATTATTATGTAATCAATAATTGTGAGATATCTTAATGCTATACATTTATTATATGTTAAATAAAACAACTTATACATTTTCTAATTTAACATGTTATATTTTATTCTAAGTAAAGAGTTTTTAATTCAATAAAAGAAGATTTTTATAATATTGTGATGTAAACGCAAATAATATCGCTTATGATTGAAATGTAAGTAAATATTGGATGAATTTGAAATATTGAATTTTAATTACAAATTATTTAAAAAATAAATTTTCTTTTTTTATAGGAAATATATATATTTAAAATGAATACTTGTGTATAACTTATCAAAAGCCCTCAGCAATTTTAACTTAAACCCAATATTGAAAATAGAATTCTCGAATAAAATTTGATTTTAATAATAGTTTGTGTTCTAAAAGCTGTTTGATTTTTGTGTAAATATATTATTGTTTCTTGTGTAAATTACTTTATTGTAATCAGTTTAAAGCAAGAAGCTCTACAAGTAGTAATCATATAAAGGCGCAAAAACATAACTGAAACAGAAAGATAACACTTTCTAATTAAACAAAAAAGTTTTAAAGTTATTATACGTATACTATAAAAGTAAAAGACATTGAAACAAAACTTGAATGCAATTCAAATAACAATAAACATTTTTTTTAACTAAACATCATTGTAATTACTTCTCCTATACAACAAATTAAATAATCAATAAATCAAATTAACTAAAACAAAAAAAGAAATTTTTCACAAAAAGCTATGTTTTTTTAAACTTTTAATAAGTCTTCTAATAGATATTCTTTATTTGACTAAATTCAGACTAATGTAACCTGTAAAGTAACAGATAGTTTTAACATAAAACCTAATTTTTTTTTGTCCTAACAATCGTATTTGAATTTTTGTTATTTACAAAGAGGATTTAGTGAAAATGGTTCGTTGTTTATAAATTCAATTTAATACAATCAATGCTTTGTTATTTATTTTAACTTGGTGCTTATTATATAAATAATTTTTTTATGTAATCAATTTTGCATAAATTGCGAACAATTTTTACAAAATTGAATTTTTCTTAATGCGTAGTTTCAAAATAAAATAAAAGTTTTTAAATTGAATAATAAAAATTTATATAAATTAGAATTCACGCCACATAAATAGAAAATAGAAAAGTAAAAACTAAACAAAATAAAAAAACTAATCAAAGAATAGAGAAGAAAATGAGATATTTGAAAATTAAAACAAAAAATAACTAACGAAATTATTTCACAAAAGAATATTTAAAAAAACAAATTGTCGAAGTTAAAAATCTTAAAATTCAGCATAAGCTAGAAAAAACAAAATCTTGTTCGAATATTATAGCAATTTCAAAATTTGGCATAAGGCAATTATTATATAGTTTGTGTTTTTAAATATATTTAAGAATCTATATTCAATTGACTTTAAGATTTTTTCAGTCCTAAGGATTTTGCATTTTCTAGATCATGTTATGAATTTTTTGGTAGAATGTAAAATTTTGCATTATTTTTTGTACAATAAAATGTCAAAATCACAACTTTCATCAACTTATCAATATACAATTCTAAAATGTTTTACTTGTGCTGTAAATTTTTGTTATTTCGGTTTATGAAATTTGCTTTTTTTTTTACAATCATACTGCATTGTGTGAAGCATTTGAATTTAAATACTATTAGTGATCATTACTTTTTTACATTCAGTGTTATAATAAGTATAATTTTACTTAACAATAAAACCTTAGTGGTCTTCAATAAATTATATTTGATTGAATTATAAGTTAATTGATTACTCAGAAAAATTAAATTGTTATCTCATAAAACTAAATAGACAATACATATATACAATTCATTTAAATTTATTCGGATTATTTTATCGTAAGGTTAATAGAACCGTATCAATTGCAATTAAAACCACTTCACCTGGGGAACAGCATCTTCCACTGTACATACGAGTATATGTATATTTAAAATTCATTTAGTAAAAAATTTTGCTTGCTGTTAATTTGTTTTTTACGTTCAATATAGCAGATTCAATGAAATAGCAGATTATGTTTTTGCATTAAAATATTTTTTTTCTTGAAAAATTAAAGTGTAATAAGGAAATAAATTTTGCTTATTGTATCTGAAAATTTTATAAATGTTCTTTTGGTACAATTTTTAAAAAATTTTTTTTTCCTTTCTTAAAATTTAAAACATTGACTGCAAAACTAAATTAGGCAAATTATATTTCGCATTCGCGTACAAGAATTTCAAAAACGGGTAGTTCAAAAAAAAAAAAGCTATTTCAAAACTAATGACTTTGCTTAAACAAAGCTAAACGTTGAAAATATATTCGAAATTTTTGCTAAAAAAGCAAATTTCGAAAATCGTCGTGAGGAGGCTGTATTCTTTTAAATGTGCCAATATTGCACTTCCGTAAGGTAAAGTTAAAAATATAAACAAAATTAAAAATAAATAAACTGAAAATTATAAAAAAATTCGGGAAAAATTTAAAAATTTTTTTTTGCATAAAAGTATGATTTTGTTCTTCAGTTTCTGTTAATTTTTGTTTTAATTTAAATTCACATGCGAATTCAAGGATATTTAAATTGATTTTCGTTTTTTTTTAGTTACTTTATTTGTTTATATTAAAAATTGTAGTTATATAAAGTAAAGTTAATTTGTGTTATGATTTTAAAGATTTTAATAATTATGTTATATTAGAAGTTATAGTTAAAACAAGAGGGAAAAAGGAAGAAAAAAAAATTTGGTTACATATTGACTGCTATAGGTTAACTAGGCGGCAACTAGAATTCCTAATATCATTTGAATAATTTTTATTCTAAAAAATTCTAATTATATTATTTTATAACAACATTTCTATTCAAATGCTTATATCTACCATCTGAAGTTAAGTTAACTAGAATTAAAATAAAATTTTATCGATTATAAAATAATCGAAAATAAAATAATTTATAATGGATGCATTATAGAACTACGCACTATTATTGAGGGATATTAATTACTTGTTAGAAATTAAATTTTTATATAATTTAAATCTATTTTTATATTTATCTTATAATAACCAAAATTTACAAGAAAATCTGAGTTTTAGTATTGTAAATAATATTATTGAATTTTCATCGGTTGGAATTTATTACAAATTGAACAAAAAATAAACTTTCTTTCACTACCTATGTCAAATTAAAATTTTTCTTTTGATGGATCATATTGTATTTATTTTGCGTTAGATGTTTTGATTACTTGATCCGAGAGTTTAAAAAGGCATACTAGCATATATTATAATATACAAGTTTTTTTTAAAGTATTATGTACCTAATATTCACATAATTTTGAGAAATGAATTTTTCAATAAATCTGTGGTATGAATTACATTTGTTCCAAAAAAAAACCTATATTACAATTTATACATTGACTGGCTATGTATTTAAATAAATAACAAAATTACACTAACAAATATTAATAATGATAAAAATCGAATTTTAAATTATGGAATTAATTATTAAAAAATTATTAGCAATTTATAATATGATCTTATATTAAAGTTAACAAATTTTTGTATGAAAACTAGCTAATAAAATATCTCATAAACATAAGCAGTCAATTATGTTAAATATCATGTAAAGAAAGAGTGTTTTTTTCTTTTTTTTCTAAATTAACAGAAATAAAACAAAATATTAAAGAACAAAAAAGCAATTTTCATCTTGTTATTGAAAATTAATAACACAAGGAGAAAAAAATATATAGATAATAATTAAAGTTGATTTTGGTTTGATTTTGTCCAATTATTTTTATAACTAATATTTTAATACAATTGAAATAAAATTAAAACAAAGAAATTTAGCATAAATATAGATTTTGTTTTAAATTTTAAAATATAAAAATAATTATTTAAATACATATTTAATAATTATAGCAAAAAAATTACAGCATTTTGTTATTAAACAGAGAAAGTGTATTTTTTTAAGTGTAATATTTTTAGTGTAACAATATTTTTTTGTAAATTAAATATTAATTAGTATATTTTTAGTTAAATAATTATTTTCTTTTAATTGCAAAAATTTGATAATTTAAAAAAAAAAAAATAATTTATATTTTGTTAAAATTCAACAAAATGATAATTTAATTTAAAAAAAAAAAGGTCCAGGCTCAATTAAACAACTAAAACAATTTAATAAAAAAATATAAGTATATATATATATATATATATATATGTATATATACGTATATTTAGAATATATTATATATTTATATAAATACATTCGTTATATAAATGTACATAAAACAACTAAAATCTTAATAAATAAACAAAAATTAACAAAAATTAAAAAAAAAATTAAAAACATATTTTTTTTTTATATTTTATGTTTAATTTTTCTTTTTTTTATTTAAATGTTCACCTCCTTGAATTCGAAAGATCATAAAACATTGCTAAAACTTGATTGATTGGCCTTTTAATAACTTTTTGCGGTTTTTTTCTACCCAATTTTTTCATAGCTGTGTAATAGTGTTTTTGGGATTCGGTGAGAAACATTTCGAGTACTCCTCCTTCGTACTGTAATAATAAATTAATAATTGTAAAAACTAAAAATAAAAATTAAAATAATAAAAATTGGGATGGGATTGCAAAAATCAAAAAAAAAAAAAAACTAAATAGATCAATAATAATTGGGTGTTCGACATTAAAAAAATTTTTTTATCCTTTGAAGTTTCTTTGTTGTCTTGTAATGAAAAATAATGAATTTTTTAAACTTAAGAAATTTTGGATTTTTTGATAATGAAAAAAATTGTGATGTAAACGAGATTTTTTTTTTTTGTAGTCAAAGTGAATATTAGAAAATTGTGAAAATATGCAATTTGAATATTTTTTATTTTTTGTAATGATTGAAACATTTTTTGATTGAAAATATGATTAATGAAAAATTTTTTATTTGAAATTTTATTGCAAAACACTTCTATATAAAAACAATGTTTTAAAAAGTGTTCGATTTTTTTTTCTTTGTTTAAAAATAGTGAAGTGATAATTTTTTTAGTTGATGTTATTTTTGCGTTAAAAAATCTTTTGCAAGAATGACAAGGAAGAAAATTTAATATTTTTTAAACTTTTGCATATACCTATAATTTATTTAGGATTTTCATTTTTTGAACATTCTGTTCAAATTTTATATATTTTTGAATAAAATTAATATACGTAAGTATTAAACTAAATTCCAATATGAGAAAATGACAAAATATTGTTAACGATATCGAACGGGAAGTGATAATGAGCTATACGCTAACTCAATTATAATTTTCTTTGGAGAGAGAGAGAGTTCTATACATGTATAATCAATATTGATATGAAAGTGCATACTCGTATACATATATTTATATGAAAATTTATTTTATTTTGACTTTTAAAATTATTTTATTGAATATTCAAGTTCTCAATTAAAAATTTTGTAATTAAGCAGATTTTAGTAATTATTTAAAATTATTTATAATAATTGTTAGTAAGGAATAAGATTAATACATTAAGTATTTTTAAAAATATCATTATAATGTTTTGAAGAGCAAAATATTTATGTAGATGCGAAATATAAAATTTTCTTCCATGTCGTTTTTATATTTATAAGTGAATTTTTTTTTTGTATTTTTTTTAATTGATGCACATTTTGTTTTTTAAATAAATTATTTTTTTTTTTTACAAAAAAAATTAAATGCTCCTGAAAACTGAAAAAAAAATCATAAAATGATAATTAATATATAGAAAAATTGAAAATAAAAAATTATGAAAATAATGAAATAAATTTAAATGAAACAATACATTACTCTTTTCTTAAGCATATTGAAATTATCGATGATAACTCCAATGAACAGATTTAGAGTGAAGAATGAACCGCATACAATGAATATTACGAAATAGATATAAGCATATAAATTTGCTTCACGTTGAGGTTGTAAATCAACCCCACGAGCATCAACTGCATCAGCCATTACTTCCATCCAACCTTCAAATGTTGCAACCTGTAAAAGAGCTAAATAGCCCATTCCAACGTGATCGAATGTTATTTTTGAATTAATCCATGTAAAATTTTTTTCAATACAATCCCATTTATCATTGACAATCTTTTTTTCGATTTTAATTTTGATTTATTTCAATATTAATAATATTGTGTTTGTATGTCCATGTCGAAATATTTTTTATAAACAAATGTTTTTATTTTTAGTAAAATTTTGAAATATTTGAAGATTTTTTTTTTTTAGAAATTTTTAATTATTTTATTTTTAATTTATTTATTACAAAATATTTTTGTTTTTTACCAAATTCAAATTTATTTAATTTTATATTATTAATTAAAATTAATTTTGCAGCAGAAAAAGAAGGAAAATATAAGACAATTTTAATTAAATTAATCAATTTGGAAATAATTTTTTAACCATATTTTGTTTTATCATTTTGATGAATATAACACTTACCGATACATCCAATAGGTCACCTATTTCATCAACACATTTAAAAAATTTACCACCAAAAAATTGTACACCCATTATTGAAAATATTAACCAGAATACTAAACAAACCAAAAGGACATTGAAAATAGATGGTATGGCATACATTAATGCGTTAACAACAATTCTCATTCCCTGCCATCTGTGAAGTATTTTATTTTGAAATTAAATTTTATATTAATATTATAAATTTTAACTGCTAAAATATGTAGAAATATTCTTTTTTTTTTTTGGAAATTGAAGAATTATTATTAACGATAACGATTATCATTAAACTTCCTGTTTTAAATAAAACTTATTTTTTCATATAAGGAGGGGGATAGGGTATAGTTTTTTATAAATTATGTTGGATTTAGAGTAAAAAAAAAACAAATAACAAAATATAAAACGAAATAAAAGGTTAAAAAATTTTTAGTTTAAAAAGAAGAAGAAGTAGAAGTAAAGTATTTCAAGTAAAATTTTGAATTTGAGTGTAAAATTCAGGTATAAAGATGTTTAAAAAAAGTTTTAAATCATAATAGAAAATTTAATTATTTTTAGTGTAAATTATAATAGGTGATCCTTGGTGTCATATAAGATAACATTTTACGTTTATTACTGTCGACGTGACCTTATCTGAAAGCTTTAAATTTATTTTAATTTTAGATGGAAAAATATTCTGCTAATATTCTGATTTTTAACTTTTTTTTTTAATTTTAAAGGTATACAGTATTTATTTATCTTTTTTTTCTTTTGTAATATTTTAATTTATGAGTTTAAACCAAAACATTTATAAAAAAATTTCACAAACCGGCTTTTGGTTCAATTTATAAAAAAATTACCAATCTTTTCATTAATATTAGGTTTTTTTTTTATATGTGCATTTAAAAATTTTTCTTTTTCTCTTTCTCCTTTAGTAAAAATCCATGTATCAGTACAAACCAAATGGGTATTTGTAATATACAAAATATTTCTAATTTTTATTCTTAAAACTTATGTGTGTGTATACAAAATTTTTAAAAACTGAAATAGCCTAAAATAATAAAATTAATAAATATTTAAAAAATAAATAAAAATTTTTTACATTTATTATATTATTAGTTACGTTTTTGGAAATTTTAACAAAATATCGAAAATCTTGATGCCTCAATTATAGAAAAAAAGAGGCATAGTAAAACTATCAGATTATTGATCTGAGATATTTTTCATGACTAGTTTCACATAACTATATCAGCGTTAATATAACAGTAACATAAGTGAGGCGATGTATAATATGCAAAGAAAACATTAACAATTTATGAAAATAAAAATATAAAAAACAAAAAAAAAATGTTAAAAAAAATAGTAGAAAACAATTGTAATAAGTCATAAATTCATTTGATTAATTCTGTTCGATGTTCTCATACACATTTTTAAAAACAATTTGCAGATTTACCCCATTAAATATGATAAATAGTTAAAATATTCAATTTCCTTGATTTAAACAAAAAAAAAATAACTTTTTCTTTTTCAATATTTCATTTTACAAAAACCAAATTACTGAAGGCTTACCTGGATATTGCTCTTAATGGCCTTAAAGCACGCAGCGTTCGCAATGACCGTAAAACTTTTAAATTTTCATTTTCTTCTATTAGTAATGAAAATACTGATACCTTTAAATATATACATGGTATTTAAATATTTATATTACAGTGATTTAGTTTTTCAAATTTTGTAAAATTTATTTACATTTTTTTTATTATTTAAATAAAGGTTACAAAATTTGTACATTTAAATAATATAAAAGTGTAAAATATTGTTACTCTTCTAAAAAAAATTTTTTTAATACTTACAAAGACTATTACAAAATCCAATATCGTCCAAAAACTAGTAAAATATTTCGAAAACCCCAGTGCTAACCATTTTAATATCATTTCAATAACAAATATTATACAAAATGATAAATTTGTCCAATATAGTATCCTTTTAAGTGGCTTATTTTGGTCCAAGTATATATCTTCAAAACATAATGTTATACTTGACGCGAAGATAAGTACAAGGACGAACCACTCAAAAGCTGGTGTATCGACAACAGATAATACTGCTGTCCTAACATCGGTCCAATATTTGACCCATCTGGTGTCGATGCAAGTGAACCAACATGGACATCTAAAGTATAAACTATTTTGTTTTCGCCAGAATTTTTTATTTATAAAAAAAGCGTTAAATTTACATAAAGTAATTTAACAGCATAGATATATATTTCAATTTAATATTATAAATAGTTATTTGAAAATAAGATAGATCAGATGATTGGAACAAATGATTCGGATGCAGATATGTATCAGGTTTATTTTAATTAAAAAAGTTGAAGAATTTAAATTGTGGATTCCAGGTTGAAAAAAAAAATAATTGGACAATAAAATATTGGTATTAAATTATAAAATATTTAGTATTACAAAATTGATAAATATAAAATATTATTTAAAAGATAAAATAATTAAATATGTAATATAAATAATATGATATAGGATAGCACAGGGTTAATAGTTTGAAGATAAAAAGAAGTATTATAATTATTTTAGTATAAGTAATATATTATGTGTTTCATATTGTTTATAAAAATATTAGATGTATTTTTTATATTTATTATATATTCAACAAATTTGAAATTATATCATTAGTTATTTATTTTATATCGTGTAATATATTCAAATATTAAGTGGTGTTAAGGTGATGTAGTGAAAATATATTTACAAAATATTTTGTATAAATAGATATGCGTTGTTTGAAGTAAGTAAATAGAAAATAGAAAAAGAAAAACAAAAACAAAATATTTTATTAATTATTTTGCAATGTTTGTTATTTGGATAATAAAAACACTTATATTTTTACTTCATTTTCAATATTTCTGAATTTAGCAATTATTTTCCGCAAAAATTTTGTTGACACAAAAAGAAAAACTTTGAAATTTATTCTTCAATTCAATGTTCATATTTTAGGTAATTTTTTTTTTATAAAATGTTATATATTACTAATAATAATTCTAATTTTAATTGGTTCTTGAATCAGTATAATGAACTTGTGAAATATTTACAAAAAAATTTAATGTTATTGAAATAAATCATAACAAAATAATAAAAATTAATAAGTTTAATAAATATATTATAACAAAAATAAAAATTTAGTATAAATGTATGTTAAGATAATAATTTTAATAGAACTTAATAATTTTTCATTAATTGATAACTTTAAAATTCAAACCGAAAAAAATTTCTAAAATATTCTACATTTTCATGAAATTTTTTATGAAATTTTATTTCTAGTATAGAATAATTTCAGTTTTTTAATGCACACTAATATATTTACATACTATTAAAAAAAAAAGAATGCTTTTCAGATATGAAATGTTCAAATCTAGCAAATTTAGACCGGTTTTTACTTTGAATTTAAAAAAAAATCGTGTTTATTAATTACTACTTTGTACGAATATTTATATTTTTTACATACTAGATGAATATAATGCAGTATATTTCAATAAATCTTATTGAAATATACTGCATTAAAGTAATATGAACAAAAATAATTTATAAAATGAATCATTAACATTCTGAAGCCTCAATTGAAGTAAACAAAATTCTCTTTTATACTGGGACTATATAATATATGCTAATATATAAACATATATTTCGTGCGCAACATATGCACTAAATCAAAGCTGATTTTTTTCTTTTTTAAAAAACTGAGTTTAAAGGAACTTTTCTTTATCTTAAAACTTTTAGGTAGTATATGAACAAATTGTTAGTTATTAAACGCAATTATAATAAAATCAAATATTAAATTTAATGCAAAACGCATTATTAAAATTTGTAAAATGCTAAAGTTTTATATTATAAAACATATCTTATAGATTATTATTTTCCACTTTAAAATAGAAGCTTAAGTGCTAGAAAAAGTTTTGTCAAAAAAAAAAAAACATATTTTTAAATTTCAATAATGTACACAAAAGTTGCTTTATAAATATTTGAGTTGTTTTTAATTTTAACAAATTCATAAAGCTTATTATGCTAATATAATAAATGAATGAATAATTGAAATATTTTAATACAAGTAGTAATAACCATTATTTTATTCGCGAAAAATATTTAAATAAAACAATACTTCAATATTTAAGCTTGAAATTAAAAAACTTTAATTTCAAATGATACCGCAACTCACTTTTAAAACTATGATGAAACTATAATTTCAAAGGTTATTTACAAATTAAGTTCAAAACAAGAAAACAAATTAATAACATATTTCATACCTTACAAGTAATTATTACCAGAGTAATTTATAAAACTAAATTTAAAATAATGTTCAAGAATAATTTTAAAAAATTTTATGATGATCACTGAATTGAATCATAATTTTCAGGATTTTTCCTTAATTAAACATGCAAAATTAAAACTTTTCACAATTTTGTAGAGAGGAAAATTTAGTGAAAAGTGTTTAAATTTTGTATAAATACAATGGTTGTATAGTAATAAATAGAATGAAAATATTATTTACAAAAAATAAAAAAAAAAATTTGCTTGAAAAAATTTCAATTTTGCATGTTTTTGATTTTCATCTCTTCAACACAACTTACTGATCATAGCACTTTTGTGGAAAACAATCCGATGGTACTTTTGGGGGTTTATTATCCCCAAAACTTGGAAAAGACATTGGATCATTGTATGCTCCCTGCGAGTTACGTCTTCCTCCAACGGTTAGATCGTCCACGTAGGAGACCAGACAATGCCAAGGTTTTTCAGAAAATTTCTTAGTGTTTTTTTCTTTTTCTGTGCTTTGTTGGTGTTGTAATTTATCTAACTGTGGCTCTTGTTGTCCCGATTCTAATTGTTGTAATTGTTGTTCTTTATTTGTTAATGTTTTAACAATACTGGTTGCGGACGATCCAATTGCACTTTGTTTAGATTTCTTGGGACTTTTGCCTGGACTCTTTTCTGTTGATGAACCGCCAAATTTTTTTGATAGTTCTGTGGTTGTTGAACTGGTTCTTTCTTCAGTTGTTGAACGTTTTTTTAATTTCATCATTTTTTTTAATTCTGATTTTGATAATGGTGGTGGGCTTGGTGATTTTTCTGATTCACCTAAATGGGCCATTTGCTTTTTTAGTAATAATTTTTCGTAACTCGCGGTACTTTTCAACGATAAACTATCTAATTCAACCTCAGCTATAGGTAATGATTTTCGTGGTAAACGTTCACTTTCAATTTTAGTAGTTGGACGATCTTCTTCCGGTACTTCATCAACTCGCTCTATTAAACTACGACGTTTCATTCGATCGAAATTCGTATAAAAATCACTTCTACGACGTAAAAATGGCGATCGATTTTCTATTGGTATAATATTAGTACCACTTATTATTGATGGACTAATTGATGTTATTGTTGTTGTAGCTGTTGTTATTAAGGCATTTGATGGAACTGATGTAGAAGCTGTTGAAATGACAGCTGATATAGGTGCAATCAACATTTCATTAAAGGGAGCTTGCATTTGATCACAGATTTTTCGGATTTCATTCGAAACATTAAAATCTTCATCAATCTTTTTCTGTTTTTCAAGACTACGACGTTTAAGTTTTACGGAGCTACGATTATTTAAAGTAGAATGATCTCTTCGGTGAACTAATGGCATTTCGGATAATGATGATTGTTCTATTAATTGACTTGTACTATTATCACGATTTAATAAATGCGTTATAAAATCTTTATCGCATTCTTCAGCAATTGGCGATGGTTCTGATAAATTCGATAAACGTCGTTCTAGAGAAGTTGTTGACCTTTTTATTTCTTCTAGCTCTTTCTCAAAACTCATAATGATTGTGTCAAAATCGGAATTAGTCACTAATGGTTGAGTATCACCTAGTTCGGGGTCAATATTATTACCATTAGTTGAACCGCATATACTACCTCCTCGTCGTTGTTCTAATTGTTGAATAATTGAATTCGATAGATTTGACAAATTTGACTTAATGCTACATATTGAAGTTTTACGTGTACTGGAAAATATTGAACCACCATCTTTTTTTGAATCTAATATTAAACTATCAGCATCACCAACATCAATAACTGTACTACCGTAACCAACTGTATCACTAAAGTAATTATTACTATTATCAACATCATCTTGCAAAAATTGAAAGAGCTCTTTTTGATCACAATTTAATAGCTCATCACGCAAATTTACTTGATTTAGTAGTTCATCTTGGTCCATTGATAACGTATTCAATGAATTGCCACTGTCAACACGCTTAACTGTTAAATTATTATTGATATTATGTATATTATCATCATCATCATGTCCATTACCATTACCAATAACAACTCCATTAATATTATGTTCAATTGATTTAGATTTTGATGGTATTAAAGACTTTTGACTGGTTCCACTTGATAAAGATAATCTATCTAAGGACTTACGATAGCTTGGTGAACGTGTTAACAATGATTTTTGGTATCTTAAATATTCTTCATTATGATGTTGACTTTGTTCATCATGACGTTCTGAATCAGTTCGCTGCAAAAAGCTATTATGATCACCACCTGGATCAGTGTCAGTTGAATTATATTGACCTAATGTTCTCAGCTCAATAGATTCACTTATAGTCTGCTCATCACGACTATCATTTTGTTGTGTACCAAAACCGGAAGACACTTGATGTAGTAACTTTCTTTCCATTTGAGGAAAAAGTGTATACTCGTTATAAATACCATTTAATTCGGTATATTCGTTTCTAAATTATTAAAAAATTTATTTCATTAAAGTTTTCCATTAAAAAATTACTAAAGCTAATTATGGATACAATATTATGATTAATTTATACATACTGTTTATTATTGTCTTTTAAGTTTGTTTCAACTTGCTCTGAATATTCATCTTCATGTTCTCCTTGGTCCTCAATTGTTTGTAAACTTCCCTTTAACGGTATATCAAACCCAAAATCTGATCCCGACACAGGCCGATTCATTGATTCCTAATTGTTTTTTATTTTTATTATTTTCAATCATTGCATTTATTGTTAGATTTATTAAAATACTGTGTTGTAATTAATGACTCACTTGATAACTCAGCCGATGAAATTGTTTTTCCATATCTTCAACTGGTATTAGAGCTTTTTTAGATGCTGCGACTGCTTGCACTTCTCGAACAATTTTCTCTAATTTTGAATTATATTGATTGTCACTTTTTTCTTTGGTACGTTTGCTTCTTATTAGTGATCTAACACGTTCTATACTACGAGCTAATTTCGATTCTTCACCAACTTCCTATTATTTTTGTGAATTAAAAAAACATATAGTTGGACGAAACATTTGTTTTATAAAATAAAAAAAGGGAAAAATAAATAAAAAATAGTAATTAGTTTAAGAGTTTAAAATAGTTTCTTATTTAAAATTAAATTTTTTTTGGGTTTCAATAAATATTTATTAGTGGAAAGCTTCTGTAGCATAAGGATAATTTCACATAAAAGCATTATCATTCAGGATATAATTCTGCTTTAATATTACTTGGGTCTTTTTCAATCAATACGTATCAACGATTCTACATCTAATTGGAGAAAAGAAAATCTATTTAAGGTATTTTTTAGTATAAATGTAACAAAAGGGGGAATCAATTCTTATGTACTGTTTTATTAGTGTAATTGTAAAATAATTGCTGATCTCGTCATGTTTTTAAATTTGCTGTTATGATGTCCCTAAGTAAGTTTGTTTTATAACACATCCGTTACACACTTTACATTACTTAAAATTTGTAAAATTAAAAAACTAATTTTAATAAAACGTTATTTAATAAATATCGTTAGTTTGTAATTAGAAATCTTTACAGAGATTTAAATTAAAAATGTACATTCCATCTTACAAAATTTTAAAACTAAAATCTCGTATTGGGAATAATTTAAGAACACTGTGGTACTGTATTTAGTGCCGTAAATTAACTTAAAAATATTGTATATCCCGTGTTTGATTTTCAATTTGATATGTACATCGAATTATTTACAATTGTATTATTTTAATATTATTTTATCTTTTAAAATCTTAGATTTTTGCTGTGTTCATGAAATCGTATTTTATAGTGTTATATTTTATGTTATATCAATGGTTTGATTTTAATAGTGTATCAACAATCGTAAAATGTACAGTACATTATCTACATATTTCATCAGTTATATATTATGTATATATTACATATATATATATATATATATATATATATACAGTCAACCTACATAGTGGTAGATAAAATATTTTATTATTAAGACTAAAAAATACTTTATAAAAATTGTTAAATCCATTTTTTATTCTAAATTTAATTTTGGAAACCGAAAAATAAAAAAAAATCTTTGCTATTTTTAATATTTTTTGAGAATAATTTTAATTTAACTTTTATGTGAACTACGAGGATTGGGTGTCTTTTTACTTTTACTATGTTATTTTTTTTCCTATTTAAATTTGATGTTCATCAAATTAATTTTAATTTTTCATACTATAAAATAAATACAAATTCTACAACAAAAAAACACAATTTTCTTTGATTAACACAATTCTAAGACATGGAAAAAAAACATTAAAAAATCAATTATTTAGCAATATTTGATTATATAATAGTTTAAAGTTGTAACACAATTCTTACTTTTTCTTATTTATTTATTTATTGACTCTGTTATATGAACTAACGAAGTGAAATAAATATGCACATTTTGGTGTTTGGTTTTGACAGTTTAATTTTTTATTTCACATTTAAGCGCAGCCCGGACAATACTTCCAAATTATTAATGTTTCAACAAATATTGATAACTAAGAGTGAGTTCAATGAGTACTTAATTATTAATTATTATCACGAATCAGTCAATTGATAACCAAGATCATAGCAATTTTGCGCCTTTAAATTAACATTAATTTGAACTTTTAAAACTATAGAAGCATGTGATTCGTGATATTTTTATTGAAATGGGCTACCGGAAAGATAGTCTTAGCCAATATTTACATCCGATCATGTTTAAAATATAATCGGTGACTCTTAATTTGTCGGTTGAAATAAAGTGGTTATTAGTAAAAAAATTCTAACATAATCAAAAATTATTTGTTGATGTAAATGTAATTATAAATCTTTCACGATAAATTTAAATATGTTTTTTTTTTAACAATATTAAAAAAATGTATGAATTTCTTTTACAACTTTAAATTAGCATAAATTTTTCTTACAAACATTATTAATTTGAAATTAAAGCTTTAACACAGAACATAACTGTACATTTACTAGCGCTATAAAGGGAGCATTACTATTTATATACATATTTTATTTGTTCTACTACAATAAATATTAATTTTACATCTATTTTTTCTGGTTTTGATAGGTTTGTTTTTTGTACAAAGCAAATTATTTAATAAGAAAAAAAAATTTTTTTATATATAATATTAATTTTTTTTTCTTACATGGTATTTTTCATATAGAATTACCTTTTTCTTGTAACTCTGAACGCATATAAAATGGACGAATTAATACAAAGAGACACACACACAAAAAAACAAGTAAAATATTTTTTTTTTATATTTTTGTTTGTATATATAAAAATGTTCAAAAGTGCAATTATTTTGGCGGGCACCACCAAAATCAAAATGTGAGTACAAAAAAAATTTATTAAATTATGATTTATATTTTGTTGATGGTGAATATTTGAAATTTATTTGTGAAATTTTATTTGTAAAGGAAAAACCTATAAGATTAATCACCACTGTAATAAAGAACTCATCTCCTTATTCTGTATTTACAAAAAATTATTCTAAAATTTGCCAATATTTTTCAATTGGTTAAACACTTTAGGAATATTTCAGTTCCGGTGATTAACCTTAATAGGTCTAAGAAAATTTAATTGTAGTGAGGTGTATTTTGGAGTAAATTGATGTGTGATTAGAAAACAATGATTTAAGTGATTGGGTTAAATTATAATTAATAAAATTTCGTATAATTTTAGAAGTTTTTTGTTACACGAGTTTTGTTAAATATAACAATAACAAAAAATAAAATACATAATAATAATAATAATAAATGTAGTTTCAGACAGAAAGTTTTATGTAATATATAAAGCTCAAGAATACATCTTTTGCATTTAGTGTAATTAATTATGGTAAAGAATAAATTATTTTAACTAAAATCAATTAATATTAGTACATAAGATTTTTGTTCTTTTTTTTTTTTGTTTTCAGATGGTCTCAACATGTGTAATACATAATAATGTAATTTATTTCTGCTTATGTGTTTAGTAACAGGAAAATCAAAATAAGGTGTTTTCATTTAAATATTCATCATGATCTTGTTAACGATGGTCAATTATTAAAAAAAAATTAAGCTTCCTTTTAATTCTTTAACCATTTATGTATTTAGAAAATAAAAAATTTAGTAATAAATGTATTGGAATTTTTTGTATTTTTTTTTTGTATGCTAATTTTATTTTGAAAGTTTTTGAGAATATTGTAAAGCGTAGTGCATTCAATGCTAACATTCTTTTAAAAAAATCTAAATTAAAAAATTTTATTCATTTTTTATTTGAGAAAAATTTAATTAGCTATTTTAATATTTTAATAAAAAGCGACACACCTAGAAGTTTTAACAATAAATATTAATATAGAAATTGTCTTTACATATTTGTTTATTATTTTTTTTATTTTTTTCGAATAAATTTAGAAATGCAAATTTATTATTCAAATTTACATATATTTTAAGAAAACTCAAAGAACATTTTCATTTTTATGTTCAATTATTTGCAAATAATAGGTGTTAACATATTTAGAAATAATAATCTGTCACTCTAAATAGAAATACTATTCAATTTATTTTTATTGACTAAAGATATTAACTAAATTAAAAACAATTTATATCATCTAAAGAATATTATTTATTATTTTTTAAAGATATTGTCAAATTTTTATTCTTCCTTTCTGAAAAATTATTCAGAACGAATTATTCTTTATACTTGAACATAAAAATTTGCATTTATAAATTAATTCAATTTGTTTTAAATTAGCGCTGAAAGCATGTTTATTTATTATTTTATTAATTTCTAAAATTTTCATTTTTAAAATTAATTCAATGCTAAATTATTAAATAGAAAAATATTTGTATTAAAAATCTAATTTATATATTTTTCCTAAATGAAAAGCAGTTAAAAAAAAACATTTGAAAAAGAAAAATGTTTAAAAAAAACTTTCAAAAATCAAAATACATTTAAAATTTTATTTTTTTAACAAAATTATTTCTTTGGAACTTAGACAAAACCAAAAAGATACATTGAATATAAACAGAAATTAATGTGCGTACACTTATTAAAAATGCGATTTTGTAAAGAAATTTCAAACAAAGTGGAATATTTTTAAAATAACAGGATTGATCAAAGTATTTTCACGAATTTATTTTAATTTTGTTTCAATATTCTTTTCAATTTTAAAAGACTATTGTCTAATTCAGTTTTTAAATATATAGTTTTTAAATTTTGCTTAAATACTGTAATTGAAGAACGAAAAGAAAAAAAATAATTCAGATAAGAAAAATTCATAATTTTTTATGTTCAGACTTTACCTTCAGAGACCTTTAACTATAGCAAAAACAAAAATCAAGAGATCCCCGGTTTTGAAAACATATTTTATAAACAAATCTCAAAAAACTTCGTATCATGTCCAATAGTATGAATTCAGTTTTAAAACATTTAAAATAGAAGTTAAAATTGGTAAAAAATAAGCAATTTAAAAAGAAATATGCCCCAAAACAACATCCGTTTCAGAAACACAAAATTTATAATTTTGACACAATCCGGTTACCTTTTTATCACATAATGTGTAATTGTTTAAACAAATAAGATCTTTAAAAAACCAATACATAAATATTAAATTTGTTTCAAAAATGTACACACATACAACAATTTAGATTAACATTATGCTAATTATATTGTTCTATAGCAATTTAAAATAAATTTTACAATAATAATCTTCTTTAAAGGCAAATTTTTGCTCTTATAAATATTTATTTTATTCTTTTACTTTAACAATACAATCAGAATAATGATAAATCTAATGCAAAAAAAAATATTAGAACATATAAGGAAGCATTTATGAAATTTTTTTTGCCTTTTTTATCTTTTATATTAATTTATTTAATTTTTTATGACAAAATGGAGAAGAAACATTCAATTTTTTTTATATTTGAATGAAAAGTAGTAATAGTAGGAAAAGATAGTATGATTTTTTCTTTTTATAATGAATGATAAATTAAGAAATTTAAAAAGAAAAACTTCTTATCCATCAAAGATTCTAAATAATATTCTTTATTTTCAGTCAACTTAAGTAAGTATTATTCACCTCCTTTTTTGATTTTAATTCTTCTGAATTAAAACTATTGAGCAATAAGGCCAAGAACAAATTTAAAACCATAAAATTTCCCATAACTAAAGTTGGAAGAAATATTGCAAAGCATGATGATGCACCATTCTAAAATTAAAAAAAATTATATAGCATGAATTAATGTTTTTATAATAATATTAAAAGCCTATTTAAAAACCAATATTATTTTATAAAATAATTTCAAATAATTTTGTACATTTTCTAATTTTGTACAGAAACTTAGCATATTCAACATAATGTAAATATACTAGTAAATATTTTAAACAATATTTGAGTATTAACTTCAAAATAACTTCAGTTAAAAATATTTTCAAAATACTATTAAAAAATTAAAATTCCTTACCTTTTCTTCAGCTCTCATGCAATCCCATAATGGTTCAATCCATTCACCACACAATATTCGAAATATCATCATGAATGAGTGAAAAAAATCGTTAAAATTCCATCTGATGTATAGGTGAAAAATTAGAAATAGAAAAACTTTAGAAATTAAGTTTAAGAAATAAAAATTAAAAATCACCTAATAAAAAAAATTAAAGAAAAAATAAAAAAAAAATAAAATTAATTGACTTCGTTAATCCAAAAATTTGTAGCAATTTACAACCTAATTTTTTATTTATACCCTTCAAAAAAGTTTAATAAACTTATATTTTAAATATATTTTTCGAAATTACAATTTATATGTAGTTGGAATTATTTGTGTTTATACAAAATTTATGAATATATGTACACTAAGTTTTAAGCTAATCAATCTAACTAATATTATTAAATATATAAAATTTTCAAAGTTGTTACACAAACAAATTTTCGGAAGTTTGGTTTTCCGATTTTTTTTCTGTTTAACTTTTAATCATTAAAATAATTAAAAAAAAACTAAAAATTTTAATGAAATTTAAATAATGATTATATATTTAAAATAATTATTTATGTATGTAAATGAAAAAAATTATTATATAAATATATATGTTATATGCATGTATATAAGAAATATAATTCAATTTGTATCAGTTAAATTACAAAAAATTTTCTACTTTTTCAATAGAGCTGTTGGGACACAAATTATATTTTAAAGAACAACTAAGCAGTTTTCTAAATTTTAAGTTTAAATTTTAATTATAATTTATTTTTTGTTTTTCACTTTTTAATTCAAAGCAAAAACTTGGAATTTATGTACATAAATGTATAAATCGTTATATATTTTGTAAATTTTGTTCAAGTTTTGTAGGTGTATTCAATTTAACTGATTCATGTACATATTGGTGAGCTATGTCTCCAGTTGAAAAGGGAGAATAACCTTTGTTGAAATTAAAAAACATCGTTTTCTATTGAATTTCTAATAAAAATATTGAATACGAAATTTTATAACCAATGTTTTAAATTTTGTACATAAGAAAATTCAACTAAAATCTTAATAGACTATAGGTACAGTAATAAAAAATTTAAGTTTCATTTCGAATGTTCAATGAATTCAAATGCTCAATGCTTATATGCCATATACTATATACATGCATAAATAATGTACATAAAATAATGGAAACCTCATAAATGTGAAAAAAAAAAATCTACTTTAAAAGTAAATATATTTTTGCTAATTTAATGATTTTTAATTAAACTTTTTTTTTGTTCAAATTAATTTATCAAAAATTTATTAATTTAATAAAGTCTAAATTTATAATAATGTACATATGTATGTATTTTGATTACTATGTGTTTATGCTAAAGAAAAGTTATTTTACCTACCTTTAAAATACACTATTCAAAATTTTATTTTGGGGTTCTTGAGGAACAATATATTTGAAAAGTTTATACTTTTGCAAACTAATCTTTTAAGTATGAAATTGCGTAAATTAAATTTAATTTACAATATATTTGAAATTGCAAGCAACATAATGGAAAATCTAAGCTAGTGGTTTAAGCTTTTTCCGCAGGTTTAAAAATAATACTATATGTATATATATTTTCATATTTTTAGAGGTGTTAAGAAAAGTGTTATGAAAAAAAAAAACAAATTTTATTTTTGCTATTTTGGAATCTGGAGTCAAAGTTTTTAATTAACAATATTTTCATTGCTTAACGAAAATTTGAAGTTAAACTAGAAGAGATAAATTGAGTTCACATGAATTTTTAAATTATAAAAGATAAATTGTATCCCTAATCAGTATGATATATTTTTCTGAAGCCGACTATATTTAAGCAGTTTTGTAAAGAAACGTTAAGCGCTAACAAACAACATATATATGCAAAAAGCTGATAAGAAAAATATATAGAATTATGATTTGTGCAATGAATTACAGAATTTTATTATCATACAATGCAACCTTTCGGGTATTTTGAAAACAGAACTTTGTAATTTACAAAAGACTGTTGGTCAACTAATTAGGGTACTCACTAATATATTATAATTGCGAACTAATATTCTACTTCAGTAATATGATTTGCACTTTAAATTTGGTACCTTTACATAGCATATTTGTACATATAGTTTATAAATTTTTGAAAACTTTAAATTTCAATTAGCAGTTTCGTTATTTGAATATTTTAAATATGATTTAAAAAGTACCAAAATAACTTAAGCTTTTTTATTTTACCATTAATTTATCCTAGTCTAATTAAACTTTTTATTTTAAATTCCCTTCTTATTGCTGTTTTATTGAACTTTTATTTTTCTTTTTTTTTTCTATTTTCATTTCTGATTAAAAAATACTCACCTTGGCACTGGATCTGGATCAAATTTATCTGGCGTATAATCTTTTGAAAATAATTGCATACCAATAACAGCAAATATATAAATAACAATTACTAAAATTAATGTTAAGTTTCCAAGGGCACCTATTGTTGATATAATAATGCTTAATAATACTTTCATAGTTGTCCATGATTGCGCTAATTTTAATACACGCAGCTGCGGAATAATATTGAAATACCAACAATAAATGATTTTATGATTTCTTTTTTTTCATAATAATTAATTATTATTAAAATATATATATTTTTTTTGAATATTAATTTTCTGCCTTTTTTTTTTGGTGTTTTAAATAATAAAGATATATTTTTAATAATAATTACCAAACGCAATCCTCTTAGAACACTTAAACCATCAACTAATTCAAATATTATATCTAATAAACTAGCTGAAACAATAATTAAATCAAAAATATTCCAACCACATAGAAAAAAATCTTTTGATAACGCCATTAATTTAACAATACATTCAAATGTAAATATTGATGTAAAAACCTGTTAAAATTAAAAAAAGAAATTATTTTTATTTCATATAATTAATTAAAATATTTAAAAAAAAAATCACAGCTCAATAATCATGTACATACAAATAAAAATGTCTTCGAAATTTTATCTAATTTATTTTGAAAGACAATGAAATGGATAATCTTAATATTTTTTCAAGTTGCTTTAAAATGCTACAACAATTTTTTTTTGCTAACTTAAATCATTATATAACTTCAAATACTAGGAAGCTTAAAAAAGGAACTTTTAATTGAAACAGCAAAGTTGTGGCAATAATTTCAATGACATTAAATTCAAAAAAGATAGTTTTTACAATTACAATTACATATACATAGATAGATTACGACATATTATTCAAAATTTACATTAAAGTAAACTACATTTATGTAAACTATTCTTTGGGATCATTATAAATTTTATAAAAATAAGAGAAAAGTTAAAGAAATCACAGCTTTTGGTATTGATTTTTTGTCAAGTTCCTTTTAATCAAAGAAAAAATTGTATTTTCAAAGTGAAGCATCTGCGGCACAAACTACTAAGCAATTGTTTCCTTCAACGAACTAAATTTGTATAGTGTAACATTATGTAATAGTCTTTAACAATCATTATTTTCAATTTAAAAAATACAAGGGTCGTTAAAATAAAAAACTAATTTATACCTCAAAAACATATGTATGTACATGAATAATTGTATATCCATACGTATGTATACATTAATAACTCATATTATGTCAGGCATAATTTACATTTTTGAGCAAAATGTGTAATGTATGCCTTAAATACATTTGTTATTTATTATATTAAATATTAATAGTATTATATCAATACAACATCAAAGTTCTTTAAATTATTGTGAAACATTATAAATTATATTTCATATGGCTTCATATTAAAAATTATATTGCTTCCACTTACTTTATTTCCTATATCTAAAGCTTGTCGAAAACTCTCACTCATTCCATGATGCTCCATTGCGAGAAACATCGTATTTAGTACTATGCATAATGTAATAGCTAATTCAAATAGAGGATCTTTAACAATCTAAAATAAAAATGGAAATTAAAATAATTTTTATTTAATATTAAAATTTACTAATTTTAAATTTATTAATCAAAATTAATTTTATGTGTAACAATTTTAATAAGACAAGTTAATTAGGTAACTGTTATTCTAGTGATTTACCTTATATAAACAATTTTGAAACTGCAACCATCCTTCATAGTCAACACAACAATGAACACATCTATCACAATTTCGATCTGGAAGATCATCTTTGATTTACAAGTTTATGTTTGTTTTTTGTTGGAAAAATTAAAAAATGAAATAGAAAATTTTTTGTTATATAATGTTGTACAATAAAGTAATTTTTATTTATTTAACTACTATACAATAGTGTGTGCTAATTTATAATAAATATAGAATACAATGTAGAATTCAAAAAATAAAATAAGAGGAAACAAATAATTGCGATTATAGAAAATTACAAATAAAATTTATATATTGTTTTTTTTTATCGAATTTTTTATTAATTTGATAAAATTCTTTAATTTTTACATTTAGCTTCATATTTTCTAATTAAAAATGGAATTCACTCAAATTTTACTGTTGTTTAGTTGTTGGTTGAAAATAAAATAAAAGTTTTAGTAGCTATAGGTTGTACATTTTGAAAAGATTATTGTTAATTTTAAAATTTAATGTTCATTTCAAAATTTTAGAAAATAGTTTTTTTTGTTAACTCTTGTTAATTTGTAAATTTTATTGTTGGTGCTTAAGTTGGTTCTTAAAATTCTGGATTGCCATTAAGTTAGTTGTTAAAATCCTGGATTCTAAAATCAAAAGTTTGAAAGGACTGAGTAAATTTTACTCAATGAAGGCATTGATGCATTGGTTAAATTCGTTTGTGGCAAAAAAGACCAAAAAAGTGCGATATCTGCCACTGTGTGAGTAATATTTACTCATAGTTTATATTAATGTAAAAAAAAAAATAAAAAGTTGGATATTGGGGATAAGAAAGGCGATACGGGGCTATAGTTTTGCCAGAATGATTTACTATTATCATGCTTTAATAATTGGCATTTTTATGACAACTTTATGATGTGTGAGTAGAATTTACTCACAGTTGACAAAGTAAGAGTACTGAAACGGTTTGACAATCCATGGTTTTAATTAAAATAATGTTTTTAATAATTTTCATAAATAAATAAAATACAAAAATCTTCGCATCTTAAAATTAAGTTATGTAATTGTAAATTTTATTTGTAAAGTTAAAAAAAATTTTAACCAAATTTAATGTTTTTACAGATATTAGCTTAAAATTTCAAAATTATAACAATTGAAGTATAAATAAAGCCACTGAACTAAACTCTTTAATTACTTTTTTATAATTCTTATTTTATTCAGTTAATAAATAAAACATTAAAAATAGTTAAAAATTTTTTGTGAATTTACTATAATGCAAATTTAGTTATTATTAAAAAATCTAATTAAGAAAATTTAAATAATAATAATTTCTATAAAAATCATGCCATTAAAATTTGTTAAAATGTTAAAAATAAAAAAAATTGTATTGTAACACTTTTAAAGTGAATGTCTTGCAACAATATTTTGTTTTCATAAAAAGGGTTAGTTTTTAAGATCTGAAACCCACAATAAGTACATAAAAACTAAAAGTGCTGTAGTAGAAAACGTATAATCTCTTAGAAATGTTTCACAGATATTTGAGGATTTCTTAGTAAATTTGATAGATTTGATGATTTCTACATATGTAATTAACGAAAGTTCTTGAGGATTTCAAATGTTCTTGGTATTTTTTTCTAGGACATTATTTCTAGGATATAAAGATGTAATCACACCAAAAATTTTAATTATAATTCTGAATTTTAATAACTTTTTCAAAAAATGTGTTCAAAAGAATTAAATTTTTCAAATAGAAATTGTGCTTAGCAAATTCAATTTATAACTCGTGCACAATATAATTTTAAAATTGGGAAATACAAAAAATAAAAATAAAATTGAAAAGGAATTGAAAAATTACTATGCTCATACCAATCAAATAATACATTTATGTTTAAAAAGAACAGTTATAGATACAAAACTCTACATTTTTGTATGATTTTTCTTTTAATTATAATCTAGCAACCAAAATATAGAAATAAGTGTGAATAAAATTTGTAAATATCAAGTCAATGAAATTAGTTAAAAACAATCCACTACGAAGGTAAGTGTAAAATTTATTAACAAGCGGGACTGATCATCAGATTTTTTTTTGAACAATACTTTTTTCAATAATTAAATATAAATTAAATGAGTTCTTGCATTAATTTATGCAAGTATTTAAAGTTACACTAAAGTAATTGTGCGCTATTTAGGAAATAACATTATATTTTTTTTGCGTTTCTGTTCTTCAAATATTATACTTATACAAAATATATTCTACTTTTGGTAGCCGAAATATAATTAAAATGAAAATTTAAAAAAATTTGTATTTTAAAATTGTTTTAAAAATTATCTTATGGTTGTTAACTAGATATTTGTTGTTAAGTATGTTAGTAAGTGTAAGATTTTCTAAATTAGTTCTAAATTTATAGGCTTTGAACTAAAGAAAAGTTCAACGAAAATTAAAAAAAAATTAATAATATTTTCTACCAAAATAATTTTTTTTAAAAAGAATCAACACTAACCCACACTGTCTTGGTTCGCTGACGGTGGTAAGAATTAAAATAATGAAAACAAATTAGAAATAAAATAACAAAGATATTTTGATGGAGGGGATTATTAAAATATAGCTATATAATTTTCTCTGACAATTTTAATAATTATTTATTATAGAAAAGATATTTTATATTATTTAGAAAAAATTAAATAAACAAAAATTAATTTTAAAATGAAATTAATTCATGTTATTAAAAGATGAAATTTTATTTCGGAGCTTTTAAAATTTCTTACCAATTACAACTATTTCATTTGGATACTCCTGATGTAGAGCATAAATATTATGTTTTTTTAATCTAGCAATATTTCCATTGCATTTAATTAAACGTACTTCTCTAGGGGAAAGAGCCAATGTAACCGGCATAACTTGGGTCAGCTGATCACGTTGTAACTAAAATAATTTTTAAGAAAATTATTTTGAAAAATACTATTTAAAAAAGATTTAAAACAAATAAATAAACCTCCGCGCTAGATGCTGTAACTAATTCCAGGCCAGTTAGTTCTTGATCTTCGTGATCATCAACAACTCCTGAATCGTCCAACGATGACTCTCTTCCGACACCTCCACCTTCGCTAGCATTTGAACTCGCTTGTCTACTTGATGGCAGTAATTGTCCTCTGTAGCCTTTTTTTTTTGTAAGAATGCATTGTATTGAAAATAAGGAAAATAGAACGTTTGTAATAATGAAAAACGGTTTAGCATAAGTTTAATATTTGTTTGATTCATACTTTGTTACTATTTTTGTTTAATAATTATAATATACCTGGATACAGAGTATTTGGATCTTGTGGCTGTGATTGAGCATGATTATCATTAAATGATATACCCCTAGTGCGATGTACTATTGCTAAATCTTGCGGTCGTTCACCTGTGCTACTATGTCTTGGACTTGGGCTAGGACTTGGTGTCACCGAATGATTTTTTTTATCCTAAATTTTATGTGAATATTAAAATAAAATATTTTTATAAAATATATTTGTTAATAAAATATATATATTGCAAAGCAAATTACCTTCCCATTTCCATTTTTAATTGGACTACCATTATTACTACTTGTTTCATTCCCATTAGAAACTTTTTCATTTTCTTTAGCTTTAGTTTTTCTTCTTCGAATTTTTTTACGTGAATACGAAGCTAAAAGAACACCCTTTCTCGAATCGATTTTCTTTTTATTGTTCTTATTTAATTTTTTAACTTTTAATGTGGACGGGTCGAAGCTAAACGTTGAATCGTCACGGTGATCCAATAAGTCTTTTTTACGTTCCTTTTTTGTTTAATTATTTAAAAATTAAAAAAAAGTTAAATTTATATAGAACATTTGAATTTAATTCTTTTTAGTGAGCATCCTAATTGTATGTGAGTTAAATTATTTATAATCATTAATTTTAGTATTTTAATATTGGTACAATAATTTTTAATTAACGTTTTGTTAGTGAAAAATATGAGTTTAATAAAAAGATCGAATTTTAGTTTCATTTACAAAAATTAATTAAGTAATTTTTTAAATGTGCTTTAAAGATTTTGAATTAAAAATATAAAGAGTTCATACATGTTGTAAAATACATGTGTTATAAAAATTTTGCGTTATATTATTTTTACATTTATATGAGTTCCGAATTGTGAAACTACTTATAAGAGAGTGTTTTGATGAAACGTGAAATTTTTGTAAGTAAAAATGTGTGAATAATTAAATTTTCAAGATTATGTTTTAAGTATTACAATTCTATAACAATTGCGTTAAATATCCGAAATTCCTTTTGTTAGTCTTGTTATAGCCTACATTTATTGAAAAGAAGATTTCATGAACTATTGAGTTGAATACTTCAATTTTAATCATCGTTTAAACAAATTTATTAAAAACGGTATATATTTTAAGATAAAAAATTAAAGACGATTAATTTAATTCGAAAAATAAGTTTTTTTTTTTATATTTTTTTTTTTTAACACCTAACATTCCTTTAACTTTCACCTTTTAACACTTTAAAATATCATTAAGCAATAGAGTATCTGTATAATTATGGTTCATTAAATTTTTGGTGTTGGTTTAGTTTAAAAATTTTTGTTGGTTGTATAAGAATAAAAAAGAAATTTGAGTGACAAATCACAACAAATGTTGTTTTATTTCAAATAGTTAATTATTTGATAACTGTTCCATAAAACTGATCACTAAATATCGAGAATTAGTGTAAATAATTTAAAAGAATATTTACTGTCACTTAAAAATTATCGCAAAATTAATAATTGACTTATAAGCCGAGATTATCACAAAACAATAAATAATACAATATAATTATAGTACAGCGTGTGTACATTCACTTTGTTCTACAAAATAAAAATTGTTTAATTGATTATATTTAATTGATAAAAAATTGAATATTTCTAAGTACGGTGGTTTTTTTACTAAAAAATTTTTTTCTATTGCTTGCTCAGCTTTTTATTTTCTACCTGAAAAAATCGAAATCTTGATCTAAATCCACGTTTTACAGGATGTTTGCTTTCCTCCTCTTCTTTTAATTTTTTATCCGCAAATTTTCGAGTTTTACGCTAAACACATAAAATGTAATTTTATTTACTACAAAAAACTACATTTAATTTTGAATATAATTTTTAATAGGACAAAATTTTGCAAGCTTGTTATTTGCCTGTATTTTTATAATGTTTGTAACAGTTGTTTATTGTCCTGACTATTAATTAGGAAACAGTTTATAATATATCAAATTGTATCATTACACTTACATATTCTATGTATAACTTAAATTTGATGGAAAATATTAAGAAATGTTGAACCGTTTTTTTATTATATTTGTAATATTTTGACAAATTTTTATGTAATTGCATATTTAGGACCAGTGTAATAAAAGTTTAATAGTTTTACCTCCATTGTAATTTCTGCTTCTTCCTCGTAAGCTAACGCAACTACAGCTAACATTAGGTTAATTAAATAGAATGAACCAAAAAACACAACCACTGTAAAAAATGATACACTCATGGGTCCAGATGTGGCTAAAATCTTTTTTTAGAAAAAAAATCAATAAATCCTAAGTTTTGCGGCACGTCAAAATAGAAAGGAAAAAATTACCATATTGTACACGTTTTCCCAGTAGTCTAATGTGATAAGTTGAAATGTTGTTAGCATGGACCACATAAAATTATCAAAATTAGTATATCCATGGTTGGGATTCTCTCCCACACAAAGGCACGTATATCCTACAAGATGATAAATTGAATTAAAATTGAATTAATACGTCATTTAATTACCTTTTGGGCAGTGCCTTGCTCCAGTAAGATTACCGCAGAGCATTGGCATTTCTTCTTCATCATATATCCAATTTTCGGTATCGTTGATCCAACTGAACAGATATTAGATATTTATTTGTCAAACTTTTATTTATTAAATTTGTAATTATTAATACCTTCTCCACTCTTCATGCGTTACATTGGCCCATTCGCTTGGAACATTTTTAACGCACTTATTTCTAAGTTCCCCCATGTAAACCTTAACGTTGATTATTTAAAAAAAAAAAAGAAATTATCTTAAATGAAAAATTGTTTCATTTTGTAAATCTATTATGCATCTATTTATGAATCGGTGGGTCAATTCATTTCATATTTTTTATGGATTACTAGATCATTTTTTGTTTTTTTTTAGATATTTATACCTGAAGAGCGAATAACGCAAATACCATCAAACAAAATATAGTCAACGTCATTACTTCTGCTAATTGCCTAAACGAGTGTAACAATGCATTAATAATAGTTTTTAAACCTAAAAATATAAAAAGGTAATAAAATAACGGTAAATAAAAAGAAAATATTTTTTTTAAATTGAAAATCCATAAATCATTACCGGGCATAATTGAAACAGTCTTTAATGCTCTAAGTACACGAAATGTTCTTAGACCAGCCAGATTACCAACTTCCATACCAATGGTGGCATAACCGCTCGTAATTACTACAAAATCCAGCCAGTTCCATGGATTTCTCAAATAAGTATATTTGTTTAATAGAAAACCTTTTGCAATTATTTTTATAATCATTTCGAGAGTGTATATTGCTAAGAAAATATATCTAAAAAAAGGAATACTTTGATTATTATAACTTTCTTGAACACGAAGACAAAATAATATAGTAAGTATGTACATACTAAGTATGTAGTACGTATGATTTTTAGTGTTGTAGTCAAATTGAGTAATTTTTTTTATTTAAATTTTCCGATTAAATGTACATTTATATATGTACGTGCGTCAGAAAATCTTGGTAAAAACTGTGTTGCGTACATACTTATGAATATACATATGTATGTCAAAACTTCACTTACTCGGCTTCTTCAAATGTTTCAGTCATTGCGAGAAATACGCAGTTTAACAAGATCGTAGTCATTACACAATAGTCGAAATACTGATTGGTTGCTAAATAAACGCACGCTCGTCTTGCCCGACTCCATGGATGAAAACAAAAAAGAGACTTTGTACCGGTGAAGCGATGAATATAATTTTTGCGAAAGCGTTTTGATACAACACAAAAAGTCTGAAAAAAAAAGAAAATGAAGTTTAAGTGCATAATTTATATATACTATGTATATACATACATATGTATACATATGTTTTTGGGTATGTAATTATGTGCTTATTAAGTAGGTTCTTTTTTAATTATATATTACTGAGCTCAAATGACTTTAAATTCTTAAAGTTTAAACCATACTACTTATGTTTTATTACAAAATACTTGATATTTAAAATATTAAAATTTTTATTAATTTTTTAAATTGACCATACCGTATGTTCCAGTTCAAAAATAGTAAAAAACAAAAAGAGATAGACTATGCCACAACAAATGTGTTATACCTATTGCAGCTAAAATTATTTAACTTATAACAGAGCGATCCTTGATTGCTGACGCCTCTATCTGTTGATCATATTAATGCAAAATTAAATGGCTTATTATATGGTTAAACGCTAGGTTTTCCTATTCCAGCATTAGCATGATTTAAAGAAATTCATGTATTACAAGCAAATATACATACATAATATGAGAATTAATTAACCTCGGATTGGTTTCGCAATGAATTTAAAATTATACCTATAATTATTGATTTGAAATTTCTCTTAAAAAAAGTATTCTATTATCGTGTATAAGTTTTATATTTCACACTATATTTACAACAATCCAAGTTGGCGACATCTTACATGTGCTTTGAAAGACAGAGTGGTTAAATATTTTTTTTATTTCCTATTTCTGGTAGATGTCTCCACCAGTCTGATTAAATTTTTTTTTTCTTTGTTAACAGAATTGTGTTTGAATAAATCATGCGAAACCTAACGTCATATAAGTCATCAGTTTGTTTTTTATGAATAGTACACATAGCGCCTCTGCAAGTAAAAACAAGCATTATACATATAGATGTTCAAAAATAGAACTAATTGCTTTGGTTGGCAGGCATGCGCAGAAATATGTCTATTGATTTTGTAGACTTATGTAGATTTCCTTTTTGCAATATTCTTTCTTTTTGTCAAAGATAGAAAAGAATATAGTCGGGTTTTCCGCTACATTTTAATTCGTCTTAATAAAAACAGAAAATGAGAGCTAAGGTAAGGAAAAATAGTTAATTACTTAATTATAAAATATAAAAATAAGTAAAAATAAAATTTAACATTTATTTAAAGTAATTCATTTTAAATAATTTATTATTAAAGAAGTTTTCAAAATGCACGTGTTGTAAATTTTAAGTTTTGATTATAGTTTAAATTGCTTAACTATTATTAATTTTAATATATAATTTTTTTTTGGATTTTATTATAGTGGAGGAAGAAGCGTATGCGGAGGTTGAAGCGTAAACGCAGAAAGATGCGTGCAAGATCTAAATAAGGTAACCTTAAACTTGCAAAAAAAAAAAGCGTGGATAACTAATTCATTTTCTTTTTTCATTTTAGCTTCGACTAGTAATTGATTCCATCGCTCTGAATATTAAAAATATATTTGATTTTATAATTGGGTGAAGTTAAATAAATATTAATTTCGGAGTATCTAAAATTATTTTATTTTTGAATGAATATTAATTTATCCAAAGGTGTGGTGCCGATAGTGTACTTATAGTCTCAGAATATTAATTCCGAAAAGCGAACATCAAAGGAGAGATTTGGAATTTAATAGTCCCGAGGAAATTTTGACAAGCAATTAATATGATTTTTTTTAATGTGAATACGTATGGAAGGGATTTAAGGCCAATTGATTTGAATTCGCGCTAAGTTATTTACTAAACTTATATTTCTCAAGGACTTCTAAATAGAAATAAAGAAATACTTGCTCTGGGTATATTACCTATGTAAGTGTAGCTAAATGAAGCATTTTCAATACTATACGGGGGAGTAAGTACCGACATATAGTTCAAATAAATTTTACAAGAATTCTTTAGTGAGCAGATTGGCTTTTGAAATATGATTCATATTTTATGATTAATGCGACTTTCATTACATAAATATGAATGTACGATTCCACAAACAGGTAAATCAACTTAGTATGAATTAACGATCGAATAAAACAAATATGTATTGGGCAATCAAATAAAACGAACATACAAATTTCGCAAGGCAAGTTGTATGAATATGAAAATTGAAAAATGTATCGTTTCTAGTTTAATATGTCCAATTATTTTCCTAAGTACAAGTATTAGAGGCAAACTAGGTAGGTAAACTGCTTTGGCCTGATCTGTTATGCTCAAATTTATAACCATATACCGACATGTTATGGAACCCTTGTTATATATTACATGCTTAAATTTTATACGTAACAATGTGATTTTTAAATCTCTTATCTTCCATTTTTTTTAGGAATCTACTAGATTACAAAATAAAATATGCGATATTTTTTAAAAACACATTCGTATATTAGGAAAAGGTTAAATGTGAAAAATGCATTAAGATGATTTTGGAAAAAATTGGAAATTAAATAAGGAAAATTATAACTTCCTGTGTTACACAAGATTGATTTCTCAAAAGCAAATTTTAAGGAAACTTAAAATTAAATTTATAGCCCGTCATGAATTTTAGTACAGAGAACTAGCATGAACAGAACAAGCAAAAAACGAGAAAAGAATAAATACGTTTTCTTTCCAATTTTTAAGGAAAACATGTAAAACTGTTGTTCCATTTTTATTTTCCTTTTTGCTGCCTGCATCAAAGAAAAATGAAGTTATTTTTGTCAATTTGTATTTAGAACTAAAAGCAATAAACTATAAATTTTAAAAATTTTAAAAAGAAAACGAAGAATGTTAAGAATATCAAAAATTTTCAACTTTTAAGTTGAAGAAAATTTTTGTGCTTTTATCCAGTTAAAAATAGGTACATAAACCTTAACACGTTATTTTCCAGGATCCAATGTTAATTGTAGTAATGAATTTTCATTTTATTGTAAAACCGTAGTTAATCATAGCTTTTGTTTGTCAGTTTCAGAAAATTTAAATACTAAAATTGTAAAATTTTAATGATATTATAATGTTAAATCAATTTATTTTACTTTATTTTTATTTGAATAATTTCTTTTTTTTAAAGCTTTTTAAAATTTACTTTTATACGCAAGTAATCTTTGAATGGATGAAGTTATACCCGTAAAGCATAATACATTTGTACATATAAATAAAAATTTTAAAAGTGAAAACTTCTACATAATATATTTACAAGAATGGTTAGTTTCAGTAGTTATGGAGGACGATTTTATCGCAATTATGAAAATTGTTTAGGGTATTCAAAATGTATGTAAGTCTATAGAGATTAAATTAATAAATAATTTTAAATTTGAATACTTTGCAAGAATGAAAATTTTTTAAAATAAACTTTACCTGTAAAATTGTGCTATAAACTGAAAAATTAATGTAGTTTTATTAACACCCAGAAACTTATTTGCTTCCAAAGATGTTTCAGTCTTCTAATAATCTTTCGTATTGCATTCATATATAAATTTCATTAACATTTTACATTGTAATTTACAAAAATTACAAAAAAAGATGAACAAATGAAAATTATTCAACAATTTCGAAATCAAAGAAACACGAAAATTCGAGTTATTTATTTATTGTATTTAATTTAACTAATTAAATTAAAATGATAAAACAAAAATACTAAAAGTATACTATTAAAACCGAAAAGTTCATGATTTAATTTATTTTCTTTCGTTTAATTTACAATTAATAGCTTTTTATTTATTTAAAGTACATGGGAAGTGGCATTAAAATATTGAGGTATCCTTTAAGAAATTGCATCTTTTCTAAAGAAAAATATTTTGTACAGTTTCTTAAGTAAAATAAATAAAATGCCAAACTGAAATTCTTTTATACTCATAAACCACAAAATAAAAATTTTCTTAGTTTTATTTTCCAGTGAACTTATACTCAAAAGGGCTATAGAAATGAATACACTTTAGAATACAAATTAAACATTTATTATGACTTTAGTCTTTTTGTTGTTTTGTATTTGAAATATTTTAATAATTGAATAAATGTCAATTGAAATACAAATTAATTTTATAATTTATTAATGACTGAGTTTTGATTTGATTAAATGTAGAAAACAATATAAAATCTTTTTGATTGTTTTAAATTTTGTTAATTTTGTTTATTTGCTGTATCCAATTTAAAGAAATTAAATATTGCTACTTATGGATAAAACATTTTCTTTTCAACTTTGTACTAATGCATGTATAGAAGATGTAAAATTATTTCATAAGAAAAATGCTTTTGATTTTCCCAAGGGAAAAAAATATTTATTTACTATAAATATAAAATAATTTAAATCAAAATATTTAATAAAAAAATGCGAAGGTGGTTTAGATTTCGGTCCGTACACAAATTGGTTTAACAATTTTTAATTTAATGATTTTATTCTTCTTACTCATTGTAATGTTGTGTGTAAAATAAGAGCTTGTCAGTGAAATTTTAACGGGACAGGCGCGATTCTGTAGTGAGGGTTGCAGCGAGTTAAAATAATTAATAATTGAAAAATAAAAATAATTAAGAAGTGATTGAAAATTATTTGTGTGAATAAAATTCTTTGAACTTTCTCAAATTTCTTTCTCATCCAAATAAATTTATTATGTGTGTATCAAAAAATTTTTATATTTTTTAATTTCGAAAAAAGAAATAAAACTTACATTCTGCATATATTATACATTTATTATTATTTTATTCAAGTTTCGTGAAACTGTTTTTCCAACATTTTCAATAAAGTTTGTCAAGAAAAAAGAAAAATAAATGATTTATGTGAATTTTGTATTCCACTCAAATATCTTTAAGCAAAATGAAGAATAACTTTTGTTTTAAGATAAATTTTCGTTCACAGTTACTGACACTTTACACACATTTATTTGAAAAATATTTACGTTTAAGGATAATACGAAAGTCATTTTGTTATACAGTCATTTATCTGCATTCTAAATTTATCATATTTCACCGGTTACAAGAATTTAATCGCTTTTTTGAATAAAGAAAAATTTTTTATTTTAAATTTTTTTTTTTTTTTTTGGAAAATTTAAAATTATACCAGCATGTAATATGTGAAACAAAAAAAATTATTCGAGGACACAGCGGATCTGTTAAAATCTATGAAATTTTATTTTTTAAAGTTATTAAAGAAAATGTAACTAAGTACCAACAATTATGCCAATTTCATGATCTGAACTTCTTAATGTATTTTTATTTTATTATCAGAGAAGTCTACGAAAAATTTAATTTTCAATATGATGATTTCAATTTGATATTATGTTAAAAATTATCTTTATTCATTTAGGTGTGAAATATCCAAAGATCATTAAAAACTTGTGATTTGGGAAAGAAAATTGCTGAGACGAGTATATGAACTTGCGGATATAAGAATACTTTAATTTAAAAGAGTGAATACATAATTCTGAACATTCGATTATACCAATAGTGTCAAATTTGTATTAAGGCCTGATCATCTCGCTATATTACTCAGCATGTGAGAAGAAAGTGAGTAACTAATTGTAATATGTAATATTTGTATAACGTAATTTCCGAATGAGGAGAATTATTCGGTATTGCGTTTCTCGTATTTTTCTAAAATGAATTAAAAATTTAATCATTTTGTTTTTGAAAGTGAGACATTCATTCAGTTGATAACTTGAGAAAAAATGCAAAAATTCAATTGAAAAAATGAGTAACGTTATTGCGAAAAATAAATATCCATTAGAATTCTGATTTGAAAGTGAATATAAAGTGAGTAAAAAAAGCGAGATTAGGATGTTAATTTCATTCAATCTTTTAATCGGTTGTTGGTCAGAACTCATGTTATTCTTTCTAATAAGATATTTTCTAATTATATTTCTAATAATTAATCTTTTTATTTTGAATTTTCCTCAATATATCACAAAAAAATATTGAGATATCAATTAAAATTGTTTTGTATTAAAATCATGAAGATTTCCCTCCTCTGTGCGTCAGCGAGGAAAATTTATGAAACAAACTATATAAGCTACAATAAAAATTTTTAACTTATTAATTACGAGAACTTATTTATTTTGAAATAACTTACATTTAGGCATTTTCTAATGAAATTGCAAAAAGGATAAATAAATTTTTTCACATTAAATTGTTATTTAAAAAACAATTTTGACACCAAAGGCAAAATGGAAAAACGATTTTTTCATATTAAAAATGAACTCTTCACTCTATTAACAAAAACAAGGCATAATTTTTTTTTTAATATGGAATTTTTCTTCAGGGAAAAAACAAAATATCTACTGTATTTGAAGTGTAACAGCAATTGTAATAATTTCTAACCTTTTGTAAAGAGGTTTAAAAGTATCCGGAAAACTTACAAAAACTAATAATAAAGTTTTTGAAGGGTAAAGCAAATGCACCCAAAATTAAAAAAAAAATCTTTAAGTTTCGATTTAAATTACTACTTATATTACGTAATTTATAGATTGTCAAATTTATACTAGAATTTATAAGAGATCATTAAACTTTTTTATTAATTTAATAGGTTTTAATCTGGTAAAATTTTATAAAATAATA